AGAGAGAGAGAGAGAGAGAGAGAGAGAGAGAGAGAGAGAGAGAGAGAGAGAGAGGGGAGCAGCTGGTCAACCAGCACTTGGGTTGCAGGCAGATAGACAGATAGACAGACAGATAGACGCACACAAACCGCAGCTCAGTTCATTAACACCCGTAGTCACTCTCACTCACTCTCGAAACGCCCTCTACCCCCGGGCGGTTCCAGGACGAGGACGAGGAGGGGTTGCTTCCGGAGGTGGCGGAGGCAGCAGTGGCGGCAGCAGCCCATGAGCAGCTGGGTAAGGGCGTGTCAGATGGCCACGACAACGAGGGGCAGGTGCAGCAGGGACACGGAGGCGGGTGGGTAGCGGCAGTCGGACCGCCTTGTCCCCACGGGGAGGTGCAGGGGCTGGGGCGGGAGTCTGGGGCCGTGACGGTCTCTAGACAGGAGCCGCTACAGCAGGGCCGACCGGGTTGCCAGGATGCCCCGGCTACTGCCGCTACCGCCGCTGGGGCCAGTCCTACCGGCGTGCCGACTGGATCTACCCCTGCTGCTACTGCTGCGGTTGCTACAGCCCGCAGCGGACCCTACACCCCGTCAGCTGACGCCGCCGATGTGGCGCAGCACCACCAGCACCACCACCTCCAGCGGCTCCGGGCCTACTGGCACCGGCCGCTGTCCCGGTGGGACCCCCACGAGCGGCTGCTGGTCGCGGGGGCGGTTGTGGCGGCCCAGCTGCGCAGTGCGCTGCTGAGGGAGCTGGGGTACAGCTGCTCGGCTGGGGTGGCGCATTACAAACTGATGGCCAAGCTGGGGTCAGGTAGGCATGGCCGGGTAGGGTAGGGGTCGGGGGGAAGTGTAGGGGTGGGGGTGGCGGAGCTCCCCGGGTGGGGCTGGGGATGGGGATGGGTGTCGAGTCCGGGCATGAATTCCGGGCCCAATTTGACCCGGTGGTCGGCGGGCTGGAGGGGAGCTGGCGGGGGCCATGCGCTTCCCCCCCCGGGGTACATCGCGTTGCTCACCTCACACAGACCTGTAAGCCCATCCCATCCCCCCGTCCACACCACCACATGTGTGTGTGAGTGTGTTTCTTGCTTCTTTTTCATACACACACAAACACACGCGTCCACGAAACCCCATCAATTGTTTCTCCCCTCTGTCCCCTCTCGCCCCGCCGCCGGCGTGTCTGCAGGCCTCCACAAACCCAACCAGCAGACGGTGGTGCTCGCTCGGGCGGTTCCCACTCTGCTCCGTAACCTGCCCCTGGCCAAGCTGCGGTCGCTGGGGCCCAAGTTCGGGGAGCAGGTCCAAGAGGGCTTGGGAATACAGACTTTGGGTGGGTTGCGGGTGAGGGGAGGTTTGGTGGGGGATTGGGAGGGGATCGATGTTGGGCGCTCCGAGGAGGGGAGAGGAGTTGGGAGGATGAGGGTGTGCTCCCCCTGCTGCACCTTTCCCTTGTAAACCTGCGGGCTTCCATCACGTATGTATGCATGTATGTATGCACGGGCGCGTGTGCGCATCATTATCCCTTGAACACACCATCCACTAGAGTGCTTTACCATGTACTGAGCTTGCGCTGTACAGCACGCCGTACGTGTACGGGCTATGCCGCTATGATTCACATGTGCCGGTGGTGGTGCTGGTGCAGGTGAGTTGTGGTCCGTCCCCGCCTCCCGGCTGGAGTCGCTGTACGGCCCTGAGGCGGCTGCGGGCCTTATGCGGCTGGCGGCCGGCATGGACGAGGGCGATATGGTGTCCCCCCGCCTGGCGCCCAAAACCCTGAGCTGCGGGAAGACCTTCCGCGGCAGCAGTGCGCTGCAGGACATACGGCAGGTGGGGCTTGAGGGGTGGGGGTGCGGGGTGAGGGGGGTAAGAGGGGGAGAGGAGGGTGGGGCCCACCAGATCCCATGTCCGCCTTCCTTCCTTCCTTCCTCCCTTCCTTCCTTCCTGGGAGAGGAAAAAAGAGACAGAAGGCTTCATGAGGGCGCCCCGTTATGTGCTTCGGACAGGACGGCCCCCTGCTGGAATCAGCAAGGCGCCGCGGCCCCCCTGGGCCCCCTGGGGCACTGCGCTCTCACTCCACTGGTATATGGGTGTCTCGGTCATTCGCCAACGCCCGCAGTTTATACCTAGTTGTGTCTCCTCCCTTCCCCCCCACATACACTTCACCACTACGGTTTCCTTTGCTTTTCTGGTTCTTTAAAAAGGGCTTTCCTTTCTTCTCGGTGGCTAGGTTTTTGCTTTTTCGCCTTCTTTGCCTTCTTCGGACTTGGCAGCTACAGTAAGTAACTCGTCTCTCGCACCATAGCTGGCCACGTCGCCGCCGAGACCACCATTCAAGTCAGCATTGGTCAGTAAATATACATGCTGTTAGTATTTGTCTTCTTCTCCCGGACTGTGTCCGTCTAATTCTGGCATCTGCTTCATTTGCCAGTGGTCCGCCCTCTTGACCCTCTACACATCAGTTTTCCCCCTCCCCCCTCCTTCCACTCCCCCCTTGTCGCCTCCCTGTTGTTTGACCCTTTGCTTCTCCTTGCATTCCTCCTCTCCTTACCCCCCGGGCCCCCCATACACCTGCACCTTCCCCTTCACCGCTTAGGTGTCTCCGCGGCTCATGCAGCTGGCCGCGGAGATGTCTGAACGAATTGAAGCGGACCGGCGCGACCATGGGAGACTGCCCACACAGCTCACCCTCACCCTGCAGACGGGGGCACCCGGGCTGGCGGGGGCGGGGGCGGGGGAGGCGGCGGGAGGGCCTGGTGCTGGTGGTGGCGGGGCCGGGGGCGGTGGTAATGGCTCCACCCACAGTCGGTCATGTCGCCTGGCGCGTACCAGTACGGAGTGTATTGCGGAGGTGGCGACGGGGCTTGTGAGGAAGTGGGCAGCGGAGAGGTGCGCGCCCGGGGGTTGAGGGGGTATGGCAGTGGGGGGTTGTCTGGATGTGCTACCAGGGTGCTACCTGGCGGGGGACTGTGAGGGGGGCCCGGGGGTAGGGATTAGCGCTGGGACTGGCTGACCTGGACATGGACACCGGCACGTTCACTACTGGCCGGGCAGCCCCCCCTTCACCCTCCCACCCGTCCGAAGTCGTTTACTTTACGAATGCCCCGGGCCCCCCGACTTGCTCCCCCCCCTTCCGCCCTCCCTCGCTTTCCCCCGCCCCCTCAGATCCGGCTGGCGCATCACCGGTTTGTCCATCACCACCTCCCGCTTCGACAGCGCCCCCTCAGGACCCTCTACCCTCGCCCGCTTCCTGCAACAACAACAACAACGACAGGCCCCACAACAGCAGCAGCAGCAGCAGCAGCAGTCGAAGCAAAGCCATTCTTCTGTGACTGACAGCCGCCAGCCATCACCTCTACCATCCCCGACGCTGACGTCACCCTCCCCCTCGCCGTCACCCGCACTCGCCTCACCGCCGCCGCCGTCATCAACGGAATCCCCCTCGCCCACCCCCACTCCCTCACCCAGCCGCAACCCCACCCCGGGGATGGCCACCCCAGCCGCCGCGGCCTCCGCCGCCTCGCTGGCGACCGTTGCCCCCTCTGTCGAGCCGGCCCCCACCTCGCCCAGCACTGGACCGTCCGCATCCGCCTCTCCGTCTTCTTCCCATCATCATCATCATGAGCAGCAGCAGCAGCGGCGGCGGCAGCACAAGGTGGTGGGGTCGGGGGCCCGGCGTGTTAAGGCTAGCAGCACCCGGGGGTCCCCGGGGGCGGGGGTGCACTCCGCGGATGTTCGGGCCCTGCTGCTGGTCAGCCCCCGGAGACCCACCGCCCCGGGGAACCTCCTCCGGGAGACGACCGCGACCACCGCTACAACGACGGCAGCGGCAACTGCGACGCCAGCGGCGGGGAGCACGGTCACAGCGGCGGCGGCGGCGGTGGCGGGGAGGTTTCTCCCTGGCGCAACGGCACCCGGTGCATCGGCTGATACCGGCCCGGTCCAGGCGGCCGCTGCGGAGGGGGGGGGAGGGGCTGGGGCTGGCGCTGGTGGGCTTGTCGACAGTACGACAGATTCTACGGCTGCAACCCTGCCTCCGCCACCGGCTCAGTGTCCGTCAGCGCAGCCTCCGCGGCCTCCTTCCCCTCCACCCCGTCATCCCTCTCCCGCACACCAGCATCAGGAGCCCGGGCATCAGCTCGCGGGCCCCCAGCCGCCTCCGTCAGCAAACCCGCGCGCGGGCATGTCGCCCCCCTCGCCACCACCGCCCGCCCGCCCCAAATGGAGCCGGGGGGCTCTCGCGGCCCTGCTGCTGCACCGCCAGCCCCTAGCCGCCCACACACACCAGCCGCCCGAACCCGTCACCAACACCACCAACACACAACGACCACTGATACTGATTGCGCAGCAAGAGCAGCAGTGGCAACATGAGCAGGAAGCGGCGGACCATCAGGTGCTGCAGCCACCATCCAGATTGCCGTCGCCGTCATCGTCACCATCGCCGGCTCCGGAGGTGTGGATGGGGACGGCAGCGGCGCAGCAGTATGATGATCATGATCATCATTATCATCAGCATCAACAGCAGCAGGGGCATCTGCTACTGCACACGCCCCCGTCCTCGCACACCTGGGGTAGCCCGGCGGGCTCGGCTGGCGGGGTGCTGCAGGTCCACCCGCCAGGCCCCAGTGGGGGCCACCCAGGGGGAGGACTGCTAGCTGCCGGGCCAGAAACACGTCGCACCCCTGAGCGCGAGTCCGGGTCCGGGCCCGTGTACGGCAGACATGGGCACAGCGGCGAGCTGGGGCAGGGGCAGTACGACAGCGGCGGTGGTGGCGGTGGAGGCAGTGGAGGAGGAGGAGACCGGGCGGGTGGCACCGCATGGGCTGCCGGTGTTGGTGCCGCTGCGTTAGGGGGGTTTGGCGAATTGTACGGCGCGGGTCCCCGGTCCGAGGTAGGGGTCCCCTCCTCCCCGCCCGGCTCAGCCTCCCAGCCGCTGGTGTACTCGATGGGTGACTGGCTGGCGGACTGGCTGGAGCCCCCTCCGCCTCCACCAGCACCAGATAATCCAGAGGCAGCGGAGGGAGGGCCAGCAGCGGCGGCGGCGGCGAAGGGAGTTGCTGTTCCAGCAGCAACCCAACCACCGTCCCCAGCTACACATGTCATCCAGGAGCACCTAGACAGACAGGCCCAGCAGCAGCTGTCAGCGGTGCAGCACCAGCCGCAGCTGTCGGGGCCACTGGCGGTGGCAGAGGACACAGAGGCAGCGCTAGAGCAGCAGGAGCAGGAAGAAGACCCACCCCAGCTGCGGCAGCGGAGGCCCAGCAGTCACGACCATGCCCCACACCTCCACGGCCCCACATCCCTCAATTCCAAGAGCTCCTCCGCACTCTTCGCGGTACAGGAGGGACCAGGGGCTCCGGCAGCCGCAGTAACAGCGTCGTCGTCTGCGGTGGTGTCCATGCACCCGGGGCGAGCGGCAGCAGCGGCGGCGGATATCCCCATCCCCTTCCTGCCCCCTCCTCATCCCACTCCTGCTCCTGTTCCCGGACCCCTTAACCCGAGTCCCTTACCAGCCCTTCCCCCGCCTGCTACTGCTACTGCTGCTACTACTGCTACTGCTACTACTGCTACTACTGCTGCTGCCGCTCCTGGCCCCCAGTTCGTATCCCCACCCCTTAACCTCACCGTTCCCCGCACCAGCACCGGCATCCCGTTGGGTGTGGCAGCAGGCGAGCGAGGTGGTGGCGGCAGCTGCGGTGAGGGCGGTGGGGACCTACAACGGCGCTGGTCTGCGGTTGCGGCAGAGGCGCCTGCGGGACAGCCACCACCTCCAGGTTCTGAATCCAGTTTCAAAACCAGATCTGGATCTGATGCACCCGGTTCGTCTGGGCCGTCAGGGCCCGGTTATGGACCGTCTGGCCTTGCGCACAGTGCTCCTGCTCCTGCTACTGCTCCTGCTCCTGCTACTGCTGCAACACCGGCGGCTTCACTTGTAGTGAACTGCGGCGGCATCCCGGAGCTGACGGCCTATGTCCCGGTACCGGCACCGTTACCTGCCCCTTCCGCCCCGCCGGATCCGGCGCCAGGTCCAGGACCAGGTGCTGGACCCGCGGTGTCTGCAGCTGCTACCGACTGGTCTCAGCTGGAGGTGGATGAGCGGGTGCTGGCGGAGCTGCCCTGGGAGATCCAGGAGGTGGGGAGCGCCTGTTTGTGGGGGCAGGGGAGGGGGAGGGGCGGGTCGTATTGGCCTGAGCCGCTACCAGCTACAGGTGGGTGGGTGGGTGGGTGGGCGGGTGGGGGGAGTTGGGGGGTGGTGGTCGGGAGAAGGGTGTCAATGCTCTGGGTGCGTGTTGTGGATGCGGGAGGGCCGACGAGGTTATCGGGGGTAAAGGATGGAGGGTTGGATGAGAGGATATGGGTAGGGGACCCTGATCTTAGGAGCGTGCGGGGTAAAGAGGAGAGCGCGCGAGGGGATTGCCTGACTGCCGACCTGACGGGTGGTGGTGGTGGTGGTGGTGATGGTGGACCCCGCAGGAAGTCCGGAGGAGCATCTGGGCGGCAGGAGGGAGAGGGAGAGGAGGGAGCCGCTGCGGCCCGGGGCTGGGGCCGCAGCGGGGCCAGGGCCCGGGCCAGGGCCAGGGGCGGCAGGGGGGTGTGAAGCGACCTAGGGATGCCTCGCAGCAGCAGCAGCAGCAGCGGCAGCAGAAGCAGCAGCATACTGTCATGGCACGGCAGCTGGATATCAGGCGTTTCCACAAACCTGCGTGAGTGGCACCCGAGTGAGTGGCTCTGTCGCTCACCCCGGCTCTGTGCTGCGCGGCGCGGCTGGGAGGTCTTCCCGAGGAGGGGGGGATGCATGGACGTCCGAGTTAGTGGTGCAGGTTGGACCCTTAGTTTGCCTAGCCTGCTTGTTTTCCTGTCTCGCAGGGAATGCGAGGTGTGTGTGTGTGTGGTGTGTGTGGTGTGGCTTTGGGTAGGAGGAGCTCAGCAGCTGGACTGATTGTCTGGGCAGGAGGTGGAGGGGATGTTTGCAGGGCTCCGCTGTGCAGTGGAGAGGTGAGAGCGGTCTAAGAGTCGGTCTAAGGGTGTTTGGTGCGGTGGGCCCGGCAGGCGCATGGAGGCGGTAGGCGGGAGGTTGGAGGGGCCCCACGTGCGCACCGCTGTGGACGCCCTCCACCAAAACCCCTTTTTTCGTGTGTGTTGCGCGGGGCCACGTATGCAGGAGCTTGTGCTATGCCGCAGCTGCAAGGGACTGCTTTGCTTGAGGTGAGCCCCTGGCGGGGCACAACCACTGAACATGTACGTACATACGTACAAACACACGCACGTATGGGAGAGACAGCACCTGATCTGCCGGGTAGCAGCATGTGCACCTTGATGTAAGTAAGGAAACGGATAGGGGGGTTGCGCGGATTAGGAGCAGATCCAGGGACTTCTGGATTGAGGTGTATTTTAAAGTCACAGACGGGCGCGGGCGCTTTTCCCCCACTCGCTCGCGTTTCTGTCGTCCTTACAGCAGTGGACAGCCGTGGTACAGCCGCAGCTGCCCTGCATCTGGTGATCACCAGTGGCGCTTGGAGGCGCCATGGGGTGACAGGACTAATAAGCCATCACGGCTGCCCCGGAGTGCAGGATGTCCCTTGACGGGGCCGGGGTTTGGTTGCGGCGGGTGGCATAGATCAGTCGCACCTCGATGGGATGTACGGATGCATCGGAGGGTCTTTGCTGAATCCGTGGATCCTTTGGAGTTGCCTGACGGCCTGGGGTTGAGATGTGTTTCGCCCCTAGGAGGGGGGAGGGCGGGCGGAAGGACAAGGCAAAGCGCAGAGGATGCCGCTGCACCGCGGACAACACGCCATTGTGTTGGGCCGCAGCAAGTAAGGCCACACATAGGACTAGAAACCCGCCGCTGCCGCCTCAGGGGCGAAACGTACGGCGTTTGTGTGTTCGAATCCCACTGTAACCCTACCGGGTCGTGAAACCTTCATGTTCGCCACACTTATGGGACTTAGAAGCTCATGGTCCCAGCATGTCTACGAGACGAACAGAACAGGCCCAACAGAACAGCCTGTAATGATGTTCGTGCGGAAGAGGGATTCGATCATCAACAGAGCATGTTGGAGGCAATGAAATGGGAACCAGTACGTCTGGCGAGGATGTTGGAAGGTATGTGGGCTCACCGAAACTCAGTTACCCCCTTTAGGCACGCACTCGGCGGCAACACGCTTCCTCGGCCGCTAACCGGGATATGACCCCAAGCACATTCACAGAAGGGAATGCTCACACGGGCTTAGAGGCGGGTGGCTGGTGGGTCTTTTAGAAGGAATCATTTCCCGATAGGGGGATATGTGCAAAATGGCTTTCCGGCCGCTTTCCGTGAACGTTTGGGAAGCGCATGGTGCGAAATACGATTTAGCCCCCCTTGTGCGCATAGGAGGACGTCGAGCGTGGCTAGTATTGCGGAAACGTGACCTCCTGCGGTTGGGGTTCTCGTCAGATTTGGACCAGCGGGACTGGCTGATGAGAAACGAGGGATATAGGATATGGTAGGTAGGATGTGGTAAAGATTTGCTTCTTGGTAATTACACGGCAGTTGGTTGGATGACGGTCCGTACGAAGATGAGAGAGAGCAGCTGCCGCCGCAGCAGTTCGGAGTACCACCATAAAGCACAAAGCAACCCTCTCCATGCCCTTAACACTAACAACCCCTCTCCTCTACATACGACCGTACTTCCAAGCCGGCGGTAAGCGCCCCTAACTCATAATCATAAGCAACCGAACTCAACTCTCCCAAACAAAAAAAGTCGGAGCACTGAGAAAAAAGTTACATACAGCTACAGCTGCGACCGTCAGAACCGCTTAATGCACTCACCCGTCTTCACTCCCACTCACCCATCGATCCACCCATCAGCCACAACACCATTAGAAGCCCGAAACTGCTTCCAGCCGTTCGAAAGCACGACAGCAACCCGCATGGACCTTTTTGTCTGACACACAAAGGACAGTCGACCGACGACCCGCAGTATTTGCGACCAACCTCAACGGCGGGAAAAGCCAAGGCAAGAAAACACTTCCTCGGCCTGCAGCAGGCCCCGGCGCAAGGGAGGCACAGAAGCAGGAAGGCAGCGGCCCCTCGGATATGGACCGAGGGACCGGGAAAAACGCCCCCGAGGCTTCATGCAACAATACTTCTCCAACAGCATAGTATTGAAGACACCGCGAAAGGCCTCGGGGTACACTCGCCAGCAAACCGCGTTCGTCTTCAAAACAATCTCTTCGCCGCGCATACTCCTATCGCACACCTTTTGTCCTTATATCCATAAAAACAGGGACCCTCCTAAGCACAGGACTGTCCAGTTGCGGTTACACGGCTGCGTGGACGGGGAGACCGGTGCTCGGGGCACATTATACACAACTCCCATGACCCATCTCCCTCGCATCCACAGCTCCAAAGGCTTCTGCAGGACTGTGACCTGTTTGTAACTACTAAAACTTTCCCATAGTAGTGAACGACTACTGTGACACAACACGTGCTCGGGCCCTCTACCAAAGCTGCGCGACACGGCTAAAAATCGCATTAACAACCCTTATCGATCATTCCCCTCGGCTGCACGTTGATGTCTGGAGATCAAGGCCTCACTCCCCAGTCGCGTCTTCTACGGGAGGCGCCGCTGACGATGGCCTACAGGTCTCATACGCGGTAGGACGTTATTGCGGTACACATGGCCGCCGGAGGGGAGGTGACGAACCATCAACACCGGAGGCGTGTCCTCCGCAAACAAGCAAGGAAAGAGTAGTCCTATGCGTGCAGTCGCCCGCACTTCCATGCCGCAATCTTACCTCTACCGCTAATGGTCAAGACAAGGCGTGTGCGGGGGGCCGCCCTACATCTTCGGCCTTCACCTACACCAACCAACCGACAACAAGCCGCAACAAGCATCTGACCTCGTCTTCTCCTCACTCCTGCCAACAGCAGACGCGACGTAGGACTCCCTGTCCAGGGAGAAGGCAATTATAGAACTTTTCAAATTCGACTTGTACGACACTGTATGCGGCCGGAAAACTAGTCAAGCAATAGCCAGCCAGAGATAATTGCGACCGTGGCCACCAAAACAATAGCCGGGCCTTATACAGTTCCCACCCAATGACCTGGGTAATGACCACGCGCACGAGGCATTGAGATCATCTCCCACATCCACGACAAACACAGGATGACTTCAGTGCATGGCCCCCTCTGCCTCCCCATCTTGTCCTCCGCCAGCCAGCCCAGGCAACAGCATGAGGTCACACGCCGGCGAAACAGCAACCAGCGGCGGCTGGAGACTGCCAACCTTGCCCCCCCCCGCCGCCCTGTAGCCCCCACCCCTCCGGAGCCGCACGGAGGGCCCAGAGCAGTCGCGCATGTGACTAGGCGGGTGATGGCCCTCCGCAACTGAAACAAGAACATATCACGGACTTTTACCAATTTAATAGACCATCCATACGTACGTCAATGTACGACAAAACGTGATCCTGCAGTTTAGGATAGCAGCAGTTCTAAAATAACGGTGGGTACATACATCAACTCATTCATAAGAACGCGGCGGGGCAACTCCTGTATACCGGAAGAGACGCGGACGACGCGACACAGAATTCCGTCCAGGAGTGTACGGCAAGAATTTGAACGTATATCGCGCTTTTCATCATTATGATGATTACCATAAACACTGGAAAGATGGGCGTACATATCGTTGCTCGAGTTGTTGATCGATGACACGATAAGACACAGGATCGTTGTTCTCCGCAGGTGGAGGTTGTCGGCACCAGGCAGCGGCGGCTCGAGGGACCCCGAGGACTGGTTTGCGTGTAGTAGCTGGGGGAGGGGGGTCGAAGCCGCTGCATAATGTTTCAACATTTTTCCCCCTCAACACTCCTCACACTAAACACTAAACAACACGACAGATGATGCAAAAATGTAAATTGATGTGCAGCAAAACATAGTTTCCAATGCTGGCCCCGTTGGCGCGGTCTGAGGACACGCGGCCCAGACTACCACACTGTTTGACAACGACAGCCAAAGCTCATGGCATGGGTTGGGTTATACTTCCCTCCCACAACTGCTCATCAACCGTCACAAAAAATAACATAACTTTCAACCGGTCGATTCAAACTCACTCGACTGGCTATCGGTCCAGGTTCACTCATTCAAGGGAGCACCAGAACACGACCACTGGACGTGTACGGCGACAATTCTACGGCAAAGCTGCCGTCCCCCAGACCTCCACCTCGACCGTCCATGTCGCCGCCGTCGACGACGCCAGCGGATGGCAGAAGTACGACACGGGTCTGGCCCGCGACCAGGTCCTCCGCGTCGCTGCATCGTAGCACCGCCGTCGCGGCGCCGCGGCCGCCACCGCTGCGATCGCCGGTGCCTACACCGCCGTGTAACGCCACCACCGTCACGCTCTCCAGCGGCATGCCGTACCTGACCGCCAGGTAGCGCAGCACCAGTGCACGACTGCACCGCAGCGGTACGACATGGAGCGTGAATCCGTCGCCGCCGCCGGCGGGGGAGTTGTCCGCACTTCCGCTGTTGCCGCCGCCGCTGCCGCTGCCGCTGCCGACGACTCCAACAGCGAACCCTGGCGCTGCCAGGCTACCGGCACGTGACACAGCACCCCCTCCAGGTCCGTAGCTGCCGGTGCGCCCGCAGCTCGACGGCGCTACCGCCGGCGTGACGACCGCCTGCGCCCTGAGGCCGGACAGTCGCAGCTTGCTCCGGAAGCGGACCAGTAGGGCCGCGGGGTCCAGGCCTCGGGCGGCGGCCCCCGTGAATGTGACCATGATGTGGTAGGGGCCCAGGGCGGATATCCGCGGTGCTGGGTGGGTGGGTCGGCCCAGGGGCAGCTTCCCCCAGCCGGTGCGGTTGGACAGGATTCGGCGAACCACCTTCAGGCCAGGAAGGAAGGGAGGAAAGAGAGGGGTTGCTATTTAACAGAAACCATATCACATTGATATGCATATATTTTAACTGCTATGCTAACTGCTGAAGGCTGTCTGAGGGTAACGATAGGTTTTCTGTGAACTGTGAGTAGTTCGTCGTGTGTGTTGGTGCGGCATGTACTGCGGTTTTAGGGGGTCGCTGTGGTGTGCTATTCTAAGTATATTTCGGGTTTCCTAGCTACTTTAGGTCGCTGCTGCGAGGCGTTAGCTGTCCAGACCTAGTTCGGTAGCTGGCGCCTCCACCCGGCCTATACCTACCTACCGAAGGAAGACTACTTTCATTTCGGCACCTTTTGTAACGTGTGACGATTTCTCATGTAACCCATGTGGTAATTAACGGGTAAGTAACGGGGGGACTAACTGCCGACACTGTTAGGGCTCACAGCCCCCCCGGGGTGCCCCCGCGCGAGGGGAGCAGGTGTTCTGCCGCAGCGGCTGGGAGCCGCCCACCACCGGGGGCTCCCCCCTTAAAAGATGTGAAGCGCCCACGCAGCGCAACACACACACACACAGCCCGATCACTCGCCTGTTTGGCGGCAGTCGCCTCCCAGCGATACTCCATGTGCCTTTCGTAACGCTCATCGAACAGCAGCTCCAGGTGGGCCTGGGCAGGATCACCGGTGCCATCGGGGGAACCGCCGCCACCGCCGCCGCCACCGCCGCCAACAACCTCGTTCTTGACGTCAGCGCTGCCGTCGCCTACTGGCGCCGCCGCGGCGGCGGCGGCCCCCGTGGTGGTTACCTTGCTCCCCGTGGTGGTCACCCACAGCTGGCACCCGTTGTTGCACGACACGAAGTCCAGGTCGGCGAGGGCGAGGCCCCCCGCCGCCAGCAGCGCCCTCGTGTCAGTGGAGCCCAGGCAGCTCAGCACACCCAGGCCCAGGCCCAGGGAGGGGGAGGTGGGGGGCTGTGCGGTGGGCGGCTCGGAGGAGGCGGCTAGCATGGCGGCCGCCTCCCCGAGCGGTGACAGCACGTGACCCAGCAGCGCAGACAGCTGTCATGAGGAGCCACACAGGGGAGGGGTCGAGGGGGAGTGGTGGTGGTTGAGGGCGAGTCACATATGGACATTCGCAAGTATATACAGCATATAGCACAGCACAACGCTGAGACGGCTGTGCCTGACCAGACGAACATGTGGATACGTGGTGTTGGGTAGCAGCCATAGAAGATCCCCAGTCGTCTATTAGCAGCCTTGTGACTACGTTCCGCACCACCCCCACCCACCCCCACCCCACCAACACCACCACGAAACACAGTGGGCACATCCACCTGGGCATCACCTCCCAGCAGCTCCAGCCGATCCGGGAGATCGCTCAGCGGCACCAACTGTCGTACAGCCTCCCGCCGGGCGGCGGCAATCGCAGCCAGCAACCCGCCAGCCCGCACCAGGTCCGCGGCGCTGTCGCAACAAAACACCACCCACCGACCACCCCCATGGCTGCCCGTGATCATGCCGCTGCTGCAGCTGCGAGCAGTCAGGGGCAACTGGGCGCCCTGCGAGGGAGGTGGGGATGAGGGAGGGGGAAGACGGGGCAGCGCCGCCGGCATGGGGGTGCTGTCGAGGACCGCCACCTTCTGGCAGTGGCACTATTCGGGCCCCCAATGAAAGTAGAGGAGGGTAGAGGGTTGCGGAGGAGAAAAGGCGTCTAAGAATACAGATCCTACTTCATACTCGCAACATTGTGCAACTGATGATCGGACTTCCCCCCGACTTCTTCACCGGCCTGTTCTACTATTACTTCAACAATAACATCCAGAAAGACCCATCGATAGAGACCCACCGGGAAATGCTCAGCAGCTCCGCCTCCGAAACCGCCGCCGCCGCCGCCACCAGCGCTGGCGCCTGCTGGGGGGCCCCCCACCGGACCCCCACCTCCGCCACCTGGGAGCTCCTGCACACCTTCGGGGAACTTACCACCGCCCCAGTCGATGCTCGGATCGGCGGAATCGAAGCTCAGGCTGCTACGCCGTACGACGACTCCGGCGGAGGCATTGCCATGGTCGGCGGAAGGCGGCGCCGCGGAGGTTTGGGCGTTGACGGCACCGCCGCCGCCACCACCACCACCACCACCACCACCACCACCGCGACGAAGGATGTCAGCGGCGGCGTTAACCGCCGCGGCGATCGCGCTGCCGGTCGCCAAGCCTGACGTCGCCGCTGCCGCTGCCACTGCCGCCGCCGCCGCTGCATCATGCAGGGTCTCGAAGGGCAGCGACGTAGCCCTGCCCCCGCCCATCCCCACCAGGTCGTTGAGCGCCGCACCCAGAGAGGGCAGGTCCTCCTGTCAGGGTGGTCGTTAAACACACAGGGACGTGTGCACGTGCACGTGTGCAGGGGGACGAGGGCGCGAGGGGCGCAGTGCCACGTGCGGGTGGGCCCTGTGAGGGCCAGTAGGCGATGCCCCGGTGGCTCTGTCCCTCCTATGTCCCGAGCGCATAAGATGCACCCGCAGGCGACCCCTCAGTACACTAGCCGGCCGGCGGGTGGGTGGGCCCTGTGTAGCGGGGTGCGAGTAACGCTGCACTGCACCACACGCTGCCGCTTCTCATCCCTAGTCAGGTATATTTGTGAGGCAAGGCCTGCTATGTTGTGGTATAGTAGGCGAGCACATATGCATGGAGACATAGCTTGGGAAACAAGCTTAGGGTTTGAACAATTGGAACATTTCATTATAAAATACATACATATACATTATATATTATGCACAGCGCTACGGCCGCACGAGCGCCCCCAATCCCCAGCCCCGCCACTCTGAGGCCTTGACACAAGATACCCCCGCTCCAGCCCCCCCCCTTCACCCTGATATCCACCCACCAACCTGCTGGCCTTCCCTCGGCTGACTAATTTGGTTGACATCGTTGTACGACATGCTGAAGGCGGGACGCAGGTACATGCTGGGAGAGCCGTGGCATCCAGGGGGCCCGCCGCCGGCCCCGCCACACCCACTGGCGCCGCCAGAGCCCAAGGCAGCGGTTCCGGATGCCGTACCGAAAGCTGCGCCGAGCCCGCTCACCCCAGCTTGTCCCAGACCCGCTCCCGCCCCTCCCGGGTGCAGCTCCGAAACCCTCCGTGCCTCCACCAGTCGCAGGTAGCTCAGCACGTGGCTGGGCCAGGAGTACGCCAGGATATTGTTCCTGAAGGGGCCGGGCGATGGACGTGCGGGCGGAGAGGGGTACGAATGGTTGTGTAGTTAGGTGGAAGTTGGAAGTTGGCAACACTTAACGGAATCATGGAACCCTGAATGGAACCCACATTGTATTCCCCAAGTCTTTCGCGCCGAGCCAAGCCGAGTCGAGCTGCAGTAGGTGCAACCCGAATTAGCCACCTTACCGCCGTGCCCTGCCTCACTCCCTCCTTTCCCTCCTTTCCCTCCTTCCCCCCCCTTTCCCCCCTCCCTCGCCTCACCTTCCGTTGTGGGAGTACGTCTCCCACAGCTCGGGCCGCGTGATGATGTCCGTCACCGCCGCCGTGATGGCCCCCACGTCCCCGGGCTCCACCGTCACTCCGTTACGCAGGGTGGCCACGATATCCACGGGGCCGCCGTGGCAGGTGGCGACTATGGGCACCCCGTGGGCGGCAGCCTCGATCAGGGTGAGGCCGAACGGCTCCTGGGGGCCGACCGAGCAAAGGGGAGCGGGCAAACGGAGAGGGAAGGTGGTAATGCGGGTGAGCGGTCGGGACTGAGGGGAAAGCGGGAAGGGGTGGGTTGGGAGGGTGGTGTTGGTGGGAAAGGGAAAGGGAGGCGGAATAAGGGGCAGCACGGGAAAAGCGAAGTACAACCCACAGCGCAAACCCCAAGTCCAGGCATCCTCCCAAGTCGTGCCCTCCTCCCCCAGCGTACCCTCGCCTCCGGACATCTGCCGATTGCGTACTCATGACGGAATGGGTAGAGTCATCTTGACCTTTGTGTTAGTATGAATTGATAAAAGAGTATCGAATTTGCGCATCAGTTCGCTATAGTCTAGGCGGTTAGGATACGAGATTCTCACTCTCGAGACCCGGGTTCGAGTCCCGGTAGCGAAATTGTTTTAATGAGTGTGGTCAGGCGGTATTGGTAAGACACGGACTATTGTCCCTGGGAGATTCCGGGATCGAGACCAGTCTGGGTCAAAAATCTTTCCGTGGTGGAAGAGTGCCCCTACTCGATGGACGGTGGTGACCTGGGGTAAAGTTGACTCGCGAGCCGACCAGGAATTGTTGGGCCTCCGTCGATCCGGCAAAGTCCGTTGGATGCTGGTGGTGGGTGCGGAACCTAAGCGATCCACTGAGAAGTTGACTAGGGTGACTAGATGAGGGTGCCCCGAAATACCGGGGAAGGCAGGGTTTCGCCGGGTAGCGGCCACGGGAAAGATACGCCTCCCTGTCCCACACATCATATACACATGTAACTTCTAGGGGAAAGCATCCCCTCCGCCCCTCCCCCCTTTCCTTCGCGCTCCCTCACACACCTGCAGCGCCACATTCACGAACACGCCCCGTGTTGCGGCCGCCAGGTGATAGATATCGGAAATGTCCGACTGGCTGTGCCGCTTAGGGTAGGCCACACTGCCGTACAGGTCGTACGCGTCCACGAGCTTCAGCACCCCCTCCATCACCCGGGCACTGCCACTGGCCATCGAGTCGATGACGTCACGGTTGCCCTGAGGAATACAGTACGGTAACGGTACGACATGGAAGGTACAGCATGAGCGCAACAGCGTACCGCCGTTCATACATATGGCAGTTCGGCAGGGCCCGGCACTAAAACGCCCATCTAGCTATGGACACTCTCCCCCCTCCACACACACACACACACACACACACAAACAGCATACACACTCCCAGGTCACGTCGTCAAAACACAAGCACGCAGCCAGCTCACCAGCACCAGCACCAGGTTCGCCAGGTCCCGCAGTACGGCACTGCTGCCGTACGCTTTGATCAGCGCCGCCACGTTCTTCTTGGCGTCAGGCCTGCTCATAGCCAGAATGACGGGCTTGGCGGGGTTGCGCAGGAAGCGGTGTACCTGCATGAAGAGTGCGGGAGAGCGGGGGCGAGGAATGGAGGTCTTCTTGGAGGTTTGGATAATGAGGGACAATCGAGGGATAATGACGTGCAAGCAAGCAAGAGAAATCCGATGCCAAATCAACAACTCGACTTTGCCCAGGGGGAGGGCCCCCGGGGGGAGGGGGGTTTAAGCGTCCATGCACAAATCATGCCAGGGCCAGCAACTATCTGCAGTAGGTCTCATCAGGGCGAATCAGGGTTTTGTACTTTTAGTATACTGACTAAAAGGGTACTATTAGTACCCTTTTAAGGTCAGCGTCGCTCCACCTTACACATGACTACTTCAGTGCTCCACCTCACCTCACCTCACCTCCCCCGGATTAACAACACCTCACCTCGCCCACACCGCAGGGCCCTTCATAATCGTGTAGCAGTATTAAGTAGTATCAACCCACTACACGACCCACTCGTGTTGGGAGTTCACCCCCTCCCCCCCCCACACACACACCCACACACACACCCCACCCCGCACTCAGCACCCAGCGCTGGTAAGTAACAGGTACCCAGGTTGCCACTCCCAGCAATTCATCACCTCGCGCCAAATGGGCGGCTCTGTGAACACGCTTGGTTGCGGTTGCGGTTGGAGCTGGGGTTGCGGTTGCGGTTGGGCCTGGGGATGGCTGCCCATGCCGCCACTGCCATTCGTTGTCGCGGCAGCCGTCGCCGCCGCCGCTTCCAGGCTGCTCGCCAGTAAGCCCCGCCGTGTGGGGGTAGGCGGGTGCGCGAAAGGGGAAGAGAACGATGACGGAGACGCGGATGTACCGCTGACACCTCCGAAACCACCGCCGGACTTGCGGGGGGACCGGGACAATGGCGACGGCGACGGCGACGCCTCCACCGCCGCAATTGTTTGGCTGGGAGGAATAGGTACGGCAACCCCAGTGACCCCATCGGACACAACCCGGACGGGCCTCGGGGGCCGCAGCGGCGGGGTGACGACACCCGTCGAGGCACTCGCCGCGTCCTCTGGCGATGTTGCCACTTGTCCCTTGACTCCACCTCCGGAGAAGGCGGCAGAGAACGACTTGTCCGGACTTGTGGAAGTGGCCAGCGACCCTTGGGTCGGAAGCCCGCTGGTGGCAGCAGTGGTTACTGTAGGTGTTGTCGCTGATGCTGTAGGTGTCCCCAATTCCTTGTTGGGGTGCGGGGTTGCAGCCGGTGCGCCCCAAGGTGGCAAGGGCCCTACAGGCGGCAGGAGAAAGGGGGGAGGGGGACCAAGGGAACAGCCTTTTGAAGTCATGCATGGCGCGCACAATGTTCAAGACAGGGCAGTTGCGTGCTCGGCATGCTTAAGAAAAAGCTCTGGGAAGGGAAGTACAGTTGTTAGTTGGGTTGTTAGTAGTTCCCCCGAAGTCCTGCCTCCACCCCTTCCGGCATCGAGGAAATCATCGAGTTGTCCGCCACGCCGGCTGGCTGGCCGGCTGGCTGGCTGGGAACGAAAAGGAGCTCCTCCCCTACGCCGCTCCACTCTCCTCGCCTCTCCTCTCTCCACAGCACGGAGACTACTACCGACCACACGACGCCGACTCTCTGTCCGTCTGTCCGTCTGTCCGTCTGCCCGCCCGGCCGCCCGCCCACTTATGTACGAACCGACAGGAAGGCGGACAGTCGTCCTTTCAGCCCCTCACCGCCGGACGGAGGGGCTGACTTACCGAGTGGTGGTGGTGGTGGTATTGGGTATGCGGGGGTGAGAGGAGGGAAGGGGAGAACGACGGAAACAATCCCCCCGCAGAGCACATTCCGCGTTTAGGGCCGAGGGAAAGAGAGAGGCAGGCTGCTGCAGGCGGCTGCGTCATGCAGAGTACGGGGGGTTCCCCCCCGAGGAGGATTGGGATTGGTGGATCGAAGACTCTTGAACGCGGGACGGGATGGGGAGCCGTGGTTGGTTGGTTGGTTGGTTGGTTGTTAAGGTGACGTAGCTTGCTGGTAATCTTGTATTACTCGGCCAGAAGTGGTTGGGTGTGGTTGGCGGCTTGAAAATGGCGGTGACCCGTTGAGTTATACCAGGGACCGATGGACCAATCGTTGTAGCACCCTCCCACCACCGCCACCACCACCACCACCACCACCACCAAGACGCACAAGGGCACGTACCCAAACGCACACAGCACGCATACACACATACACAAATCAACAATCCCAAGCATATCATCAATCTCCATCATACATGACGTAACTACACGTCCGGCAGTGCACAGCCGAACATCAGAACACGCGACTGCAACGGAATATGAAAGCCACGGAATACAACAAAAGCAGCTTGGAAAACAACCTGGTTGAGGTCCTGTCCTCAAACCGAGATTTTTCAGATCGACTACTGCTACATCGCTGCGCATTATTTTTTCGTCGTTATCCCAGCATCCCTTTTCCCCGTAACCACCGCCATCAGCACCCCTTAGCCGTTTGAACTCCCCCCCCCGCCAACCCCCGGACCAACCCGCGACAGTATTGAAAGCAAGGAAACCAAGAGAACGAAGGAGGACTCCCAAAGGCAGAAAAATGGGGACCTCTACTAAATCGTGAACTAGGTCGTGAAGGAGATGACGTGGCTGGAGATGACGTGGCTGGAGATGACGTGGCTGGACCCGCCCCAACGCACAATGTAATGAAGAGTGTAAAAGATAAAGATTAGTAAGTATTTAGTTCGATATTTTTATAACAGGATTGTGCAAAGTGACATAGTAGTTGTGAAACTACATTTAGCGAACAGGAATACATACTGGATCGCCGTACGTGTGGCATAATGCTGTGCTGTGCTGTGGTGCAGTACGGCATGCTGTACGGCATGCTGCAACACGGCGTGCCGAGGCGTGTGTAGGGTGCTGAGCGCTCTAGAAACGGTTCCAACACTCCGGTTGCCGCGGATTGCGAACTATTGGCCCATCAAAAGCACCAGACGAGCAGCAGACATAGGTAAGGTGCGGGCAGGCAGGTGACATGTATACATGCGGGCTATTCGCAATCAGACAAGAGCCGGAGGACCACCACCAGGCGGGCAGCAGCTCTCCGGTAGCAGCAGCTGGCAAGGCTGTGCTGCAAGTGCGAAACCCCTCGGCCCCCCTCCACCCTACCCCATGCGCAGTCCTGCTTAAGATTGTCAGGAGGGAACAGTTATGGAAGGGCAGGAGGGAAAGGCAACCACCCGCATGTAACCCGCAGGTCAGTAAGCCCGCAAACGGGATGCCTCCTTGGCGGGATGAGCTCACTCTTCCCCCATCTTCTCTAACCCTATCCGCGTGCATAAAAAGGAGGGCGATATGATATAATACAGCTACTATATTATTTATTCCCACTGATGAATTTTACCGCCCAACACCATTTCGTACCCCCCCCGCCCCCCCGGTTGGTCCCTCGGACCCCGAGCCCCACGGGTTTCGATGGCGTGTCCTTGCGTGAGCACCGGTACGGCAGTAGAGGGACAGGCTTACCGCTGATCTAACCCCCCAAGAACCTAAACTTCCAGGCACATCTAAAAAAAGGTCTGTTACTCACGACGTACATACATAAAAATACAGCTAGCACTGGATTGCGTACGTACGGGGTATATTACGTACGATGTCATACGGTGCAACAAATACGCAGAGCTTTAAATGTGGGGGAGAAACGATCACAGCTGACTGTCTGTCGCAAAGACCACAAACCCACAACGAATCAGTTAAGTAGGCACACGCAATATCCCCACACGCAGGCAGACAGGACTCCCTCCTCCGACAGCAGCCCCCCCTCCGAGGCTAAAGACTAAGACCTGTTATTGGACTACTAGGTGGCTGTTGTTGGGAAAAAGAAAAGAAAACGCACCTGCCATTCACATACACATGCACGCGCGCACAATGCCGAGTACAATTCTGATATTCGACCCCCCCCCTCCTGACACCCGTTAAGCAGCACCACTGCGACATATATACACACACGCATTCACAGCCGGAACGCAACCTCCCCCCCCCCCAAAAAAAACACAAAACCCATTTCCTCCCCGCGCACACGGCAGAAGCCCCCCAACGCCCCCGGGGTACGACTGCCTGTTGCTCGACAAAGCGGAAGGCCTGTTCAGTTATAACGGTATAACGGTTAGGACGGTTATGTCAGGTATGTGTATAACAAACCCCCATCGGTGTGGATCTGCTCTTGTTGCGGGTTGGTGGTTAGCTCCCCACACGGCGCATACTTGGCAAACAAAAGATTTTACCCGTACATTTCCACCCGTACGTAAGTGCGTACGGAAACATCCATGCGTTCATGGCCCCAGGGCCGTGCGCCGGCAACGCACGGGCCCACAAGGTGGTACGACAATTAAACCTGAAGCGCACACACTCACACATATATACACACATGGCCAAACAGTGGCCTCATATATACATACGTACGGCAGGGGAAGCTCCCTGCCCGTCTCACTGAGAACCGCCCGGCCCGACCCAGAACCAGACCCAGACCTTGGTCAAACCGCCTCTGCCCTACATCGGGACGGAGCTACATACCGACCGACCCTGCGAGAGCACAACGCGACAGCCCTCACATTCGCCCAGCGCACCTGAAGAAGGCGGTGCAGCTGTGGACGTCACCTCCGCCGCCTCCGCCTCCGCGGCCTCCACTGTCGCCGCCGCGGCCGCCAGCAACCCCACATCGTCCAGCCGACCCACCGCCGGGCCTCCGCCTCCGCCGTACGAGGTCTCCAGGGAGGGCGCCCCCGTCAGCGACAGCGAAATGCCCCGCCTGCTGGCCGCCGTGCTCCCCACGGATTGCTGGGCGGCCAGCGCCTGTGTAGGTGTCGGGTTAGGGTTAGATGGTGGTGGCGCTTGTAGCGGTGGTGGGTAGCGGTGGTGGTGGTGGTGCTGGTGCTGGCGAGGGCAGTCCGCGTGCGGGGTGCTGTCCAGCTGGAAAAATATGCTGCTACCAGTAGCTTTTACCACATCATCAAGACCGCACCAATATGTGTATGGTAGTTTCCTCACACGACACGGCGCACACGAACACTGCTCTCAATAACCAACCCACCGTGGTTGGCGGTACGTTGCGGTAGACGATGGATGAAAGAATGGATGCACGAGAGTCGGGTATCCCTACAGCAGCTGCCCCTGGCGCCCTTCCCCCTCCCCTCCCAACACAGATGGGACATCTCCAAGCACCCACCACGCCACAACGCCACTCCGCTCCAATGTCATTACGCTTGGCAGGTACGGCAGACAGTGTCTTGTACGGCAACAGTTAGCCCAGTCTCCTGCCCCCTCTCCCCACCGCTACCCTTACCACCCTCCCATCCGCATCTCTCCCCCCCCAAAACACACACACACACCCACCCCGAGTCCCTCACCGCGGTGTGCCGCTCCAGGAGCTGCGAGATGGGGTCCGCGGGCAGTGCCACCTTGAGTGCGGAGAAGTCCAGGCCCGGCGGTATGACGGCCATGGCGGGCACATGCAGCCCGGGGACACCGCGCTGGGTGAGGGCCTCAGCCAGCCGCTCGCGGTAGCTGCGGGAGAGAAGAAGGAAGGCGAGGAAAGGCGAGGAATCATACGCATTTAGAAATATATGCAGTAGTAGTAGTGGTAGTAAGTGGTGGTTACAGTTGAAAAAGTGATACGGGATTAGAGGAAAGCCAAAGTATATTCCCGAGGAAGATACCTGCTCGCAAAACAAGAGGTTGCTTCCTGATCCCTCTTTTCACCCCCCCCCTCCACCCACTTTTCCTCGTATTTCCCGCTACACCACCCGCCCGCGCGCGGTGCCCCCTCCCCCTCCTCCTGTCCCATTCCTCCCTTCTCCCCCTTCAGTCCTTTTCACTTACCCGTCGTACAACCCCCACTGCTCCTTGACCTCCTGCTGTGTGGATGTGAACACCACCACGGCGGAGTCCAGGCTGCGCTCCTCCGCCTCTATGCGGCGACTGATGCGGTAGGTGGCCTCCATCTCGGACAGGCTCACGGAGCCGCTAGCAAGCAGGTGGGCCTGGAGGGAGGGGAGCCGCAGCAGCAGCAGCAGCAGCCGTGGCAACAGCAGCAGCAGCAGCAGCCGTGGCAACAGCAGCAGCAGCAACAGCCGTGGCAGCAGTTCAGGAACGTAAGGGAAGCAGACAATGGGGCGTTGGTGATGGTTGTTACAGAGTGCAGATGGAGAAGCCTTCTGTCATACGCATCATCCAATTTTCAGAACATTAAACAAAGGTTACGACATCCGAAGGAAGGTCCACTAGTACTCCTCATAACCTCTACAACCCACCGTCCAGGACACCTCCGTACCCTCAGGCCTCAACAGCCCTCGTCAACCGCCCCTTCAACTCCCCCCCTCCCCTTCGTCCCTTTTCCCCCATCCCCTCTTCCCCCCATCCTCCAACAGCTTGTGGCCATTCCTGCCCCGCCTCGCAAAGCACAATGCACCTTCTTATTGCGGCCCAGCGAGTGCCCGGTCATGAGCATGGGGCAGCCCAGCGAGGCCGCAATGAGCGCCGCCGCCTCCCCCGCGTCAGCGTAGTGTCCGTGTACGGCCCACAGCTCCGAGGGGGTGCCGCTGGCCGACAGGCGGGCCAGGGTGCTGGTGATGTGGCGCAGGGCGCGGTCCGCGAAGTCCCGTATGTAGGGCCACAGGTCCTCCTTCCTGAGGGGGGAGGGGGGAGGGGTTGAGGGGGAGGAGGAGCAGGGACTTTGTGTGTGTTGTGAAGAGGGGGTAACGCCATGGTTCAACAACCTCTCCTCGACACCCGTGTATGGGAGCTGTACTACCGTCGGTGTTATATTGAGAGTTGCAAGGCCCTGCTCGAACAGTCTCAACCCGATACCAAATACCAGAAGACCCAGGCCAAGGCCCAAACCCCACTACTTAGCCCCACCCCCTGTAATGGCACATTGTTGCAACCTTAAGAGGAGGATGTCGACTATACGTAAATTTAAAATGTGTGCTTTACACGCATCCACGTATCACCCACTACCTGAGGTATACGTCCGATGGTCCGCACGGCAGTCGTACAATGAAGGCCCCCGTGAGTGGGTCGCTGCCGCCATCGCCACCACAAGGCGGGTTTTCAGGGCCGGCTGTAGCTGTAGCTGTAGCTGTAGCTGTAGCTGTCGTGGCTGCACCCGGCCCCGCCCCCCCCACCTCCCCTCCTGGCCCTCCGGGGTCCGCCAGCCTCTCCTGCGCCACAGAGTAGCTGGCATCCACCTGGGGGGTTTGGGGGTTGGGGAGAGTGGAGGACGAGGAAGAGGTTTGATAGGAGGGGCATTTGGAGGGTTGGGTGGGGGACGAAGAGGAGGAGGTGCGGCGACACTGGACAACATGCTGAGAGGCGACACTGGAAGCACTGGAGATCATGGCGGCTTTCCGTAACACCCTACGGACCATCACCCCCCCCCTGTGTGTTTTCCATGTGCACGGTGTGTGTGTCTGCGTACGGTATCACAAGCTGTTGTTACGACAGCAGACAATGGCCAGCTCCTGACTCGTGAGCGTGCATTTCTAGCACGACCTGCCAGCGCCTCCTCCCCAGTCTTCCCCTCCGCCCAAAACACACACACACACACGCTCCACCCCAGGGCGTGCCGTACCTTGGGGTCCGCAATGAGGCGGGTGAGGAGGTCCACTCGAGCCACGGACGGGATTCGGCCCAGAGCTCGGGCCAGCTCAACAACGTACTTCACCTGAGGGCATACATATATACAGGCGAGAAAAAATGTATGTACGATTTGGACGGATCGTACGAGCGAGTGATTCGTACTGAACTAGTGTACAGGAGCGAAAATGTACGAGAAAAGAGCCATACGAGCAGCTATCAGAAAATAATAAAAATATCGGAACGAGGATGCGTGACGGGGGTGTCTGTCTGTCAACCGCCCCAAATACCTGGGCAACTCTCCTTCCTCGGCATTTGACAGAATACGTCCTTAACACCACGTCGCTCGGCCCCTCTCGTTCTCGCACCCTCCTCCAGAAGCCGCTCAATAACCTTTCCCCCAAGGTACAACAGACACCGGGGGGGAGGGGGGAGGACTCCCAACAGAATACCACTCAACAATCGAGTGCCACCACGATACGCCTCGGCGAACCCTTTAAAATGCCGACCCTGATCACCATACGAAGCCCCCCGGTAGCTCCCTTCTCTTGCCCGGGGGGGGGGGGAAAGAGCCCTAACCCCCAACCCACATGTCGCTAACCACCATAAACGAGTGTGTCGATGTGATTCTCCCCCTCCCCCCCACCATACCCTCCCACACGCACCTGGCCCCCCGTGTCCGGATCCCGCCCTAGCTCCATTCGACTGCCTCGCACCAGGCCGTGCAGGGAGATGAGTACGACGTACAGCCGGGGATACCGGTGTACGAGCAGATCCAGATCAGCCTCGGTAGGGGGGGATACGGCAGCGGAGGGCGCTACTGTGGCCGTCGGTGAAACCGTGGCGGAGGGCATTACTGGCGGCTGGCAGAGTTGCGTGGCGCGAGGGGAGAAGGCGCCGCCGCTGCTGCTGATGCGGCCCGCCGCCGCCGCTGCGGCATTAGCCGTGGGGCTGGCGGCGCCGCTAGCTGGAGCTGCAGCAATGGCCGCGACTGACGGCACGGTGATGTTGGAGAGGCGCAGCGTCGTGGCGGTGGGTGCTGTTACGGCGGTGGTGGCGGTTGTAATTGTGGTGGGAGGGGTGGCCGTGGAAGTCGCTGGGCCGGAGAAGGCGGAGGGACAAAGAGAGGAGGACCCTACGGAGGCGGCGGAGGCACAGGCGGAGGCGGAGGAAACCGATCAAATGGGGGAAAAGATGAACCACGTGAACGAGTGAAGCTGCTGCCAAGGAAAGAGTGTACAAGAAGCGGGACTGACCAGTTGGCGTTCTTGAAGGCGGGGACACATGCGCTGCAGCGAGGTAGCAAGGTTGTGAGCAGGGTGCGATGAAGAAAAAGCAACGCATGCGAGTGCTGCTGCAAGAAGTAATAAACTGGCAGGCTGGCAGGCTGGGGAAGGCGGAAAAAAAGAATTTTAAAGAACTAAATTGACAGCGGAAGAAAAAACAGGGGCTAAGAAGGAAGGGCGGCGCAGAATGAGGCAGCAACTAGTCGTACTAGGTGAGGCAATTGACAACGTGTACGTTGCAAACGAGGGGCGGGGGGAGAAATGCCAGCTGCCCCTGGGGAAGCGTAGCGAGTGGGAAAGTCAAATGATGCGCAAACGTCGAGTACAAATACAGGAGATGGCTAAAAGGCAGTGGGTGATGATGTACAGCGTACGTACAGCACTCGTCAGTGAGACGATATGCCGTACCCGCAGTGGTTCTGGCGGTCACGGGCGACGACAGAAGTGACGCCGGGCCTCGGCTCTCCGCCGCAGAGACCTCCGCGACGCTAGCGGCTGCGGCGGCAGCGCTGCCGCCACCGCTACCTGCCGCGCGCCGTGCCTTGGCGGCGGCCGCCGCCGCCTGCTTGGCGGCCGCCGTCGCCGGGTATACGGCATCCCAGGACTGGTCATCAGGTCGGTCGGTGTCTGGAACAGTGGCCTGGTCGGCGGACAGCGGCTCAGCCAGGAGCTGTGCTGCGGCCGGATCCGCCGGATCCACCTCCTCCGTCAGAGGCTGTGTGGAACAGCAGGTCGGTGGTAGTGGATGTGTGGGAAAGGCGGGGGAGGGAGGTCAGGTGGTAGATGGGAGGGCATTGTAGCAGCCACAGAGGGTGCTACCACACGGTAAGGATGGTATACGGAGGTTACTAAGGCAAGAGATGGCATGAAAGGAGGCATGGGGAGCGTGCGGCAGCGGTCCGGGCATTAATGGGTACAAAACCTGGGCTGACGGCGTTGGGTTTGTGTAATTTGATGATGAACGGAAAAGCGTTGTGCGTGTGCGTGCTTTTTTTAGTGCAGTAAGACGGGAGGTAACGGCCTCCGGAGTGTAAACATTCATAGGCACCATTGTGCCGGCAGGCGAGTCACAGACGGATATCCATTTATACTCTGTACTACACCAGACGCGAGGTGAGGCGGAAGGTGATGCTGGTGACCTTGTCACCGTCATCCCGCACTTCGTGCAAAGGAGCTGCCTCGCGCCTCTCGCCAAGCCATGGCCGGTTAACCAAAAAAAGCTTTATCTTCTTGGAGCTAGAAAGTTTGATTATTTCCGCATCAATAAATCTCCGAGACAAAACTTGAGACAAATCTCCGATACTGTTATCTGTGCTCACACGTCTACAATTGTCGGGCCTTAGTTCGGCGTGACACAAACCCCAAAGAGATCAACCAATTAAGGTCAACGCCGAGCAGCTTTGCTACCAACAAAACAGCGAGGACCAAAGTTAGAAACCGTCGTTCGAAAGCATCTGCACTTACAGTCGGAGGCATGACCCACATCACAGGTTTTTGAAGCCAGCAGAGCTGTTAAATTTTGTTCCTCGCCTCGCTCTCACGTCCGTTCGATTGAACCGCCCTTTTCTGTGGCCAAGTCCCAACCCACCTCCAGGTTTACGGTGGTGTCCAGATCGTCAAGGTACAGGAGTGCGGTGCGTTCATCAGACTCGTCGTCTTCTTCGCCGTTGACCGCATTGACCCGACGAAGGTAGGCTTGCCGCGCGGCGATGGCGGCGCGCTTGCGCTTCATGGCCCACACACGCCACGACAGGTACTCGATGCGCGCATCCTTCTCGATTTGGTTGTCACGATTGGCGCGACACACCTGCAGACACAAAGCACAAATACCGATACATCGGACGGTGATTAACGTTAACCTTACGGCGACGCACGAGGCATTTGTGGCTGCACGTTTTTTGACTAGATCAATAGTCGCAGAGAAAATCCGCGTTCTAATTTTAAAAAATAAATAAACAAAACATAACTGACAAGTTCATATTCATCCAAAGACGTCTTGTGGTATCGCGAGGTATTGCGCGGCGTGCCGACGACTGACGTCGGACCAGCCACAACTTGCAGGCAGCAGTGGGTAACTCCTTACGCCACGGTGCCAGACTGCACGAAATAGAAAACAGGATTCGAACCTTGTTCCAGGACCGGCGCAGGGAGTCTTCGTCAAGGCTCAGGATTTGGTTCACGTAGTACTTTGCGCAGATCTGTCGATCTGCATCCACAGCCTCGGGCACTGCATATCCTGCCGCCGTCCTTGCTGCAAGTGCATCGCGACTGCCGGCGCTTATCTGCAGCGCGAGGGCCGGAAGGACCAGCGAATGGGCGAAAAGAGCGTGCAAATTACCGCCGACAGAAAATCAGGTCAAAGGACAAATGAAAATATCGAAGGAACAAGGCGAGTAGTTGTCGTTTGCGAAGGGGCCAAAAACAACCATGTTGGCGGAACAGCGCGACAACAGCGCACACGCTGACCTGTGTTCTGCAAACATTCTGCAGCCGGCGGTGCCTCTTAATTAATTTTTTCTTACCAGGGCCTCCAAGTAGGAGTCCACCCAGCTGTTTGCTGCTGTAGATACATCCATCTTGCTGACGGGCAGCGTCAACAGGAGGTCTGAACCGTGGGCTTCGCCAGTTGCTCCTGCAATGCCGCAGCAGCTTCCTGGACGACTAAGCGAAGCGATCCAGGAGCTTCCTGGGCTGTATGCGCGTCAATTGAATAACAAACGTACCAGCTTTAGGTCTCTGCTGCTGAAGAATATTTCTTTGTGTTTTGTACTTTTGTATTCCTGCCTGGATTTGATTTTAGTGTTCTGCAAGTGGAAAACTAGCACAAATCGAAAGCGTGACGAGAACTCCTGATTGTCCGGGAAGAATCAAAGTTACATGGCCGTACGGCATGACAACATCACCTTGGACGCCAAAAAATGTCCCGCTTCCCGAGAAGGCGACCATTATGACCCAACCGACCGAAGCAGCGAGCGAGCCGTTGCCAAACGCCCTCCTCGGACACACACGCACACGAGTCATCTCAACGGGCTCGGCGTCATGGCCAACGCCGGGTAATTGCAGCGGCGGCTGTTTTCTTCCCGGTCTGCTATCGCCGCTCTTCGGCGCGGGAAACACCGAAGTGCCACCCTGGCATTCGGCTGACTGAAAAGCCTTTCCGAACGATTTCCAAATCTGCTGTTGCTTTCGTGAGACATTTAGCGCAGCTGGCCCCAGCATCGCCCCAGAAAGGACGTGACATGAATATTGTATGGAATCTCCTCCTCTGTTGCCATAGACATTTGTCCTCTTCCTAATAAACGGCAAACTTCCCCGGAAATAAAGAACCACCACCGTTTTCGTGAGAAGTCTTCGTTACAAAAGGAAGTACCTGCAAGCAAAGAAAGCAGTCTTCGTGATAAGTGTTCTGCACTAGAACCTCTTGCTGACAGCTCCGTGCTGCTATTACCATGTAACTTCGCTAGCACCAAAGCCATCGCCTTAGTTGACTCAGGCGCTTCACATGTCCTCATCTCTGCCACACTCATGCAAAAACTGGTTTTATGTTGTATCACGTCTTTTGCAGAAAAGAACCATTGGCGGATGCCAGATTCCGTTATACCCAGGATACTACAATTATCCCCCCTCCAGCATTGAGGGCGTCCTCGACCGTTTGCCTATCTCAGGGCACCTGCAGGTGAAGACAGCTGTGAGATGTCAGCATCCACCGGGAACCAGCGGCAGCAGGCCAAGCGGACAATCGAACCCGGATCAGGACTGGGAAACTAAGTCTCGATACCAAATTGTTGTAACACGTCTTAAGCAGAAAAGAACCGATCGGCGGATGCCAAATCTCGTGATACCCAGGATACTACATTTCACAGCCCCACGCCAGCCATGTAGCAACTTGCGTGCTGAGACGATGGAAACAGCGTCTGCCTGCAAGGTCAGGTACACCTGTCGATCCGATTCCAAGGGTTCTGCTGCAAAATCGTAGCTCAGGTCATGCCTAAGCTAGTCATAGGCATGGATCTCATTCTTGGCAGCCACTGGATGCGTGAACACAGTGCAGTACTCGACTTTGGCCAGCATGGTGACACACCATGGCTGCTCACATCGGCTGCGGTTATGAATTAAGTACTGCGGTTTTACACGCGGCAATGTACGGTGGCCCTGTCAGACCCTACCCGGGTGCCGCCAGCAAAACTGGAAGCCGTGCTGGATGCCCTGTTGCTTCCCATCTCATGGGTTCTCCTCTGGCAAGACAGTCAGACACGCATGGTCCCAGCGGCTCATCAAACGGTCCCTTAGTGCCATTATCACCACTCCTTCGGGTAGAGGTCTACTCAATAACCAGTCAACACGCTCATTTACCCCCATGACTTCTTGCGGTATTCCGCCCCATTGCACTCCAAGAAGGAAAGTTTTAACATTGAGGTTCCCCAACCTCCCATTCCAGAGCATCAGTTATCTCCTGCCTTAAAACTGCATGAGCAATGGACCCCACTTGCTTTTGGAGGCGGTTCCAGAAACGGAGGATCTGTTTCACCATGTAATACTGTAAGGGGAGTTCAGCCAGCTCCGCATACAACAGCCTGTGGGATGGCCGTGCCGTCCCCACTACCTGCCTCATGAATAAAATCTGCAGCTATCCTTCAAACAGGCTTCGAACATGCCCTTCGCAAGGTTGGTTTTATCCCGCCGCCTTCCCACCCTGTCCACGACCTCTGCCAGTGCAAAAGGGCCCCATGCCTGGCAGCCATACAACAGGATTGCTCGGACTTGGGCTGCAAAGCACCGCATTCACACATCGGGGGCAAACAGCTTCATTTTGTGCAGCTTTGCGCTTAAGGAAAACATAGCGGACTGACCTGTATCACATAACTGCTGACGGCACACACTAAAAGGCCGTTCTGGCCCGTATACCAATCCCAGATAGTGAGCGCTATCTTCGGCAGGTACTACCTGGCCTGATAGCCGTAACTGTTGACATCTCTCGCTAAGTTCCGACTGCTGGGTGCCATCACATGCAAAAACAAGCCTTTCACACTTTGAGACATTTGGTTGTATCCCAAAGGCTTTGCAAAACAAGTCCACAAGATGTAGTAACTCAGACATTCGCTCTAGTGACATCGCTAGCAGACTAACATCGTCTGCATCGTCTGCATACAGCATGTTGTATCCACTTCCACTGTTCAGGTGGTAGTGAAAACAACAAGTGGTCTCAATACCACTTGTTGTTTTCACTACCACCTAAACAGTGGAAGTGGATACAACACAGCACAGGCAGCATAGGCAGGCGGCTGGCAGAGGTTATGACTTCTGCTTCCGGCCGACTCGGATTCAAACCCGCTTGACGACTTCTCGGGTGTTTGAGAGGTGTTGAAATGGGAGGTGGCCCCCCATCATGTGGACGGTGTTGGACGTGATAATATCAACCTTGCGAGCTGACCAGGAACTAAACTGATCCGCCATTGATCCGCTAGATTTGGTTGGATGTTGGTGGTGAGTTGCTGAACCCAACGAATATATTCTGAAGCCGGATGGGGTGAACGGATTAGGGTGCCCCTCTAGCAGGGGAGAGCAGGGAACTGCCTCGGGAAAGGGGGCGGCTGGTGAAGCTTAACCACCCTGTAACGACATACATACAACAGTATGGAGACGCGCTTGCTGTCCACAAGGGGTGTGTCATGCTTGCATACTCCAGCTTCTACAAGGCATGAGTATCAATCAGATCAGCTAGTGTCTCAATGAAGAGTCCAAACAGCTCCGTAGATAAAGGACACCCTTGCTTCACTCCTTGCTTAGACTCAAAACTCTCCTCCCACTTTCTCATTCACCTTTATCACCATGGACACCTTCTCGTACGCTTTTCTCACAACATCTAGCATGGGGACGCTAATCCCCCTCTCTTGCAACCGAAGCCACATATGCTCGTGAGGCACCCTATCAAAGGCCTTCCGAAAGTCAATCTGTACTATTATCAATGGCGGCTGCCCCGCGATCTGATGCCGCCCGACCAGGTGTTGCTTGACAAAGAGGTGATGAGCAGTGCCAAAACCCCGCCTGAAACCCGCTTGGCATGGGTGCTGTAGGTCCAGTGTTTCCCCAGCATGTACCAGACGGTTAAGAATCACTGACACATAGCACTTCACAAGTGCTCCTCCAACTGCAATGCCCCGATAATTTCCTGCCACCAATTTCCTGGTCACCCTTCTCAAAATTGGGAATACCACCGTTTCGGTAACACCTCCGTTCCCTGCCTGCCCTGCTCATCCACCCGTGGGAGGCGTGCATAACGGTAACATTCCGATGGTACGGCCTCGAGCCCATGAGCATTTCCGTTTGGTAACCTATCGTGCCTGCACCTAACCACAAACTCACGCATTCTCTCTGCATCACATACTGCTCGGGCACAACGTTTGGCATGATTCATTGCGTTATGTGCCTTGCAGAACGCTTCCCACAAAGGACCTGACTTATTCTTGACCCTGCCAGGGCCAAGCCGCACCCTGCAAGCAAGCATGTGTTTTGTGCTTTGGCATTCCTCATTCAACCATAATGCACCATCCCCCACTTGCATACCCTCTGGCCTGCGACCCGCAAATACTCGAAAACCCTAAGCACCTTCCGCAGGAGGGTACTAATGTGCTCCACCGACTCCGTGCTGTCACAGGTCCCATTCGATAGGTCCGTGATCACCCCATTTAGTGCGTGCATGACCTGAGATCCCTCAGTGAACAGAGCAGCATAGTCACGATAACGGGAAATCTCAAACACTGCTCGCTTCTTTTGGTGCTTGTGTTGGCGCCATCACGGTGGACGTGCGAATGTGCGAGTGAAGGTGTGATGGATGGAAAAGGGGAGTGGAGATGGAAAAACGTCCATGGGCTCGAGTCTCTAAAAATACACAGAAAGTGACACCATCTATGTTCACACGATGGCCTCACCATAAGTGGAACTCGTCGGCTTAGTATCCTGTCGCCACCTAAGATGGCTCAATGATGGCTTCCACTTCTGCCTCTCGCTAAGCGGCTTGTGAGACTAGTACAACTTTCGCATGGGTTGGTGTTGGGAGGGGGTTTCACAAGTGGGATGTGTACTACCAACCAAACTATCGGCTGGAGACTTAGCTACTGTAATACAGCACGGCAGGACTGAGCAATAATGCCTGGATGAGGTCTGGATGAATTTTGCCTCATCCAGGCTTCCCGAATTCTGGGCAACAGCCAGTGGGAAGTGAACCAATGATCTTACGGTGCAGCGCCCAGCACTATTGGAGCTCATAACCTGGTAAACACATCAAAGCGCCAGAATTCCCCCCCGGCCCTAATTATGCTGTCAACATTCTCTGGTGTATGGAGTGTCGGTCACTGTCCAACACATCGAAGGCAAAAACCATCCCATCAGCACAGAACCACCACCACCACCACCTCAACAGTACACCTCTCATCAGCACAAGCGGTCACACCTCCCCAAACCCTGTACTCACGTACGACCCTTAAATGTACAGTGGGCACATGTATATGTGTCCAATAGTTCTATTTTACATGTCCTGCTGAGGGGGTTTCGGCCGGAGGCCTCTCATATATGACTTCAACAGCAGGAGGGTCCAGCACAAGGACACAAAACATATCTAGCTCAAGCATCTAGGGGTACGCAGCGCCATACACCGCTCACAGCACTCCCCAGCTCTCACCTCTCACCAAACTCCACCCCTAAGCATTTCCCCCTTTTCCCTTCCTCTCTTCCTCCCTCCTTTCCCCCCGTTCACTCGGTCGCGGTGATGCAGCACAACAGCACTCCCGAATACTTGAAGCTCGCCTCCATCTCGTCCGGGCAGTGCACCCTCGCATCATGCATGGCTCCAGCCCTCTGCCATTATGTTGATGGTGTTGCGAACTCGCTCCAAGAGCTCGTTCACATCGCCAGCTGGCCAACGGTATAACTCCAGGCTATGGCCGTCCAGCAGTATGGCTGCGACCTGAAGCCAGGCGTCCGAATGGCGCCAAGAGGGGGAACCATGGGGCGTAGAAAGCAACCAAATCGGCGGAGGGAGAGCCGGGTACGGGTGCAATATGGGAGAATAGGGGCCGCATGTCTATGCGTGTGTTTGTATCCTTGAGGATATCCGTACAGAAAAATGAAAACGGAAAATAAAGGCAAACGAAAGCAAAGGTTGATTTAAAAGAAAATGTGAATGTATAGGGCCTGCCACACCCACGATCCGTATTTGCCCGCACAGCACTCATTTGTATCCACCACCCTTGACCGCCTTGAGGACACATCGCCCCCGTCGCTGCTTAGTTCATTGTTCCACTGCCGCCGCTGCCACCGCCCCCAAGACCGCAACCATCAGACATCCGGGGCTGACATGCTTCGAAAGGAGCATGTAAGATGACCTGCCAGAAACGACAGAGGCGCCAGCTGGCGCTGCAGCTGACATCGAAACGGATTCGATGGTGAAGCCGATGAAACCTGATTATCAGTGTGGAGGAGCTTCGGAAACCGGAAGGTGCATCCATTTTATATGCATCTCTGGAAGCCACACGAAAGTGTGCCAAGCGAGCTATTCCAGGGCGGGGAAAATGCTAGAAAGAAACTAGGAAAGTGTTTCCTGTGAACCAGTTGCAACAAGTACTGGCCCCCAAAAGTGCATTGCACGGAAGCTGGGTAAAACCACCTAGGTAAACCTTATCGTGGCTTCTGCTTAACAGTGAAGCTGTATGTGATGCAATTCGCAAAATCAACCATGATACCATGCAGCAGCGCCACCTCTCGCACCTTGTCACGCACGGACTGCCAGACCACGCCTGCAAGAAGCCGTGACACTTTCCTATACCTTTATAGCCCCCTCCCACGAATACAAGTTCCAAACCATGCAAGCAAAAGACATATAGGTCACAAAGGATACAATTCTAGGCCTGTGCGACCTTCGGATAGGTGACAGTCGGGTGACCTGAAAGCTGTCTGAGGCGTATAAGGCCCATTTATGGCTTTTGCCATTCATAGACATAACATATTGTCTATGCAGCATTTCGAGGTTTTCGACAGTTACCGGAGGCTTCGCGAGGTCTCGCAGGAAAGCTAAAAATCTGAAACTGTTTCGCAGCCGCAGTACAGGTTTCGGCCCGAGCACTGTGAGCACGCTTTGGCCTCCTACACAATTGAAACATATTTCAACATCACCACATAGGGTACAGGTCTACTTAGACGCGAAAATTTGAAAGACGCTAACAAACAAGTCACTGAAGCCCGGACCTTAGACATGGTCACCATTCGGCAAGCCCTGCTTTTTGTGGGGGGCGAGGACGCCAACTCCATTTCGCCAATTGTTGCTGCCTTAACAAAGTTAGGCTTTGACGTGGATGCCGAGGTTGGCGGCGCTTTCCGCCTGCTGAACGCGGAACAAGCAGCAGGCCTCACTGTTCGGCAGCAGTTGGCGCTAAAAGCTGCAATCCAAGGTCCGTTGTATGCAATCACGTACTTGAGAAATATTTGGCTCGTATCCTGTTCGAACTTGTAAGGAATTGCACAAGGGGCCGTTAGGGAGAAAAGTGTCTTGGGGCGCATGGGGCGTTAAGAGTGTCTTGTCAAGCCCCGCGAGCATTGTGCCTCCATTGTGCTGCGGTGCATAGGAATTGTGGTTGAGAGTAGGCAGGACACACGCCCTTTCTCGCTAGCATGCCAAGGCGCTTCCAAACTTAGGTTTTGCAGTTTGCCTTTGCAAACTTGCGCGTGAAGCTGGCTTGGTTTTTCAGAATGCTGCATGAAGATTGCCACTGCATGCAAGCCGCCCTGCCTCTCTACCTGCAGCCGCCACATATCGGGAATCCGGATGCGCGTGCTCTTCCTGATATCCCGACCTGCATTAGTTTTTTCGCCATCAATGTGTTCCAATGATCATTATTTTGTTTGCGAAGAGTCTGGTGGCTTTGATAGTGCATACCCTTCCGATACTAAACAGTTGGTTTTGGACGAGAATGCCCCGCGCTTCTTTGCTACACTGCATACCATGCATTGTTATGGTCTTCTGAATCGTTAGTAAGCTGTGTGTTCCATTACAAATAGCACACCGCACCCTCTTTTTCCCTCTTTCTTCATGATGTGCAGCTGCGGCAACTGCTGTCCCACCACCAGCTGCCAGCTTCAGTAAGTTGGACTTCATTTTTACATTATTTTTCATGAGTAGTTGCCTTACCGCTTATAGACGTGAGTCGAGCTTGGGTACCTGCGAGCAGAAGAGTGTGCTTGCTTCCGTGGGAGGAGGCGAGCCTGGTTACCGACTGCGCTATCTGCCGCGGGGCGGTGTAATGGGCAGACGACGCAGTGGAAACCTGTCAGTACTGACTATATAAACTCGCGAAATTACTCTTTCCGTCGCGTTCTCACCAGTACGGCCCCGCCGTACCACCAACGAACCGCCGAGTACGCTCTCGGCAAATACACAGAAAACATTGGTTTTCTTTCGTTACTCTCAGAAAACCTACAGTTTTCATGAGTAGTTGCCTTACCGCTTATAGACGTGAGTCGAGCTTGGGTACCTGCGAGCAGAAGAGTGTGCTTGCTTCCGTGGGAGGAGGCGAGCCTGGTTACCGAAACTTCAATAATCGCCGGTTGGGGTGCGAAGGGACCTGAGAGGAAAAGGGGTGGCATAGCCTTGCTCCGTGCGTTACACGCTGCCGAAAGGCTCAGGCCCGGTGCAGCACCCTGTCAGTACCCCAGGGCCTTTGAGACCTTGAGCTTCGTGCCCACGCTATCGGCCAGGTATACCAGCCAGGGTTCGACACTGACTTTCCTGAAACTTGCGGGATCCCCCGTACCTCCCAAATTTTCCTTACGGAGGGGCCCCCGTACCAGGCTCCTGTACTGGCCGAAAACCTTACGGGGGGCCCCGTAACCCTGCAAAACCTTTACGGGGACACTGTCCTTGGCTAAAACGCTGTGGAAAGTGACACTTTGCGTTTTTTTTGCCCTGTAAATCGTTATTTATGTTATTTTCCCGTGAACCATTACACACGGGGGCACGGCACACTCAGCGAAAGCCAAGCGCCTTGGCCGCCGCGGCCGCCCATTCCTTCTGCTCCTCTTTCGCGTCCTCCTCCTCATCAACAAAATCCTCATCCACGGACGACTCATCGGTATCTCGTTCTACGTCGGTCTCGTAGTCACTGTCACTAAAAGCCTCATCGTCACTAGCGGGGTATGTTGCTTGTACCAGTACTTCAATCTCTGGGTCAGTCGCAACCTCCTCGTTATCATCCTCTCCGTATGGATTCAAATTAATTTTGCTAACGTCAAAAAACAACTTGTGAATAATGCCTGTATAACCCTTACGCGAGTAGATCCCAGCAGCCTGATCAATCAGTGGCTTCGCCCCGGTATCAGCAGCAGGTCCCAACATGCCCACACGAAGTAGCGAATCAACCGTTTCCAGCTTTAGCCGGTTCGTCAGGCGATTCTTAATAATACGATGCCGGCTAAATCCGCGCTCAACACATGCCGTCTGTGTTGGCAGGATTGTAGCGACTTGAGCCAAACGCATCATACGCGGAAGGAGATGGGCTTGGGGACGCAAACTCACCCACGCTGCCTCCCAAGTCACCCTGCCAAGCGAAATGTAGTAAGCAAGACGTGCCTTCATGACATTGAACTCCTTTAAAACGTTCGGCAACTCATCAGGCTTAACCTCGAACAGGCGGTGTGAATTCTTAGCAGAGCAGAAGTGCTGCTCAGCCTCCTGAGTGCAAGGCTCCGTAGAGCCAAGCTCCTCAGGATCATCATTGGGGTTGCCTATAACACAAATCTTTCGGTCAACTTTCACGCCTGCGGTTCTTGTCAATCAGCTTCGAGTCCCTACCCTACCTTCTTTGCAAGGCTTATCATCTACTTTCTTTGTGGGAACAGTTTGGCTTGCAGGCTTTCCACCTGCGTCCGGACCGAAAATGAGATCGGCGAGGAGTGGCTATAGACTGGAAGCTATAAAAGTATTATGAAAAGTGTAGTTAAATATTGCAATATGAATTATGCCTGCCAAGTGTGTGGCTTTATCCTTTATATGGTCCGTCCTCTCCCCTACAGGGCCCCGTAAGGCCTCTTATTGTCTGCCATCGCTGGATGTTACAGACCAGAAGCTATAAAAGTATTATGAAAAGTGTAGTTACATATTGCAATATGAATTATGCCTGCCAAGTGTGGGGCCTTATCCTTTATATGGTCCGTCCTCTCCCCTACAGGGCCCCGTAAGGCATCTTATAAATCCTTAAATTCCTTACGGGAGTCACCGTAACCGGCCTTCGGCCTGTTCGGGGGCGGCCCCGTACGGGGCGCTTCGCGCCTCAAAATCTTTACGGGAGCCACCGCAAAGTCCTACGGACCCGTACGGGGATACCGAAAAAAGGCCAAAAACTTACGGGCCCCGTACGGGGTGTCGAACACTGATACCAGCATGGCCTCACGCGACCGCCAGCCCCCGTGGGCTTGGAACAACCGCTCATCGACACCCTGCTCGGCCGCCGCCGTCGCGCCACCCGAGCGCAAGCTGTGCAGGCCAAACAAGGCCTGCACTTCACCGTGCGTGATACCCATCACCTTCGCCACGGCCTTAAGAACATGATACCGCGCCTGCACATAGCCGATCGCACGCCCCTCCAGGGCCGTGGCCTTACCGGCCCGGGCGGCTTGCCCATTGAAACCCTGAAAGAGCGGCTGACCAGCCGTGAGGCCCGACAGCTTAAGGTACCTCTCCAAATGGCCCACTGGGCAGGCCACGCCCTCACCCCAAGCAATGCACACCACATTGCCTTCCCGGAACTGATCATTCTTTCACTTAGCAATAAAGACAGCGGTGTGCGTAGCGTGGAACTGCACATCTCGCACCAAGAGCCCTGCCACATCATCATACTGGAAGAAGCCCGCGAAACACAAGGCCGTGTACACGGCCATCATGACACTCCACACTGGGGCACCGGCGAAGGCCAACAGCCGGACGACGGCCACGATCACCTCGAGGGTTAGGGGCTCCTTACAATTCAGCACAGCCATCCCGAGCGAGCGTTTCGCTGCCGCGCGCACAGCCTTGCAAAAGGGGTGCTTCGTCGGGTTTGCCCCCTCGCACGCCAAGTCATGCTGCATGAAAATCGCAGCACTCGCCAGCTTAACGGCCGCATAACTTGACGCCGTTTTAGCCACCGTCGTTAAGTACATCCCCACCACGACCGGGCTTGCCGGTAGGTAGCAGTAGCCGCCCGCACGGCACCACGACTTAAAACCTTCCCACGGATTCGCATACACCTTCTTCATGGAGGCCGCCCGTGATGACGCGGCAAACGCTTGACTCTCCGCCAGTAGCCCGTGATGGCTTGGCGTGACCATCCTCCCTGCTCGCTCCCAGAAGGACGCGGCAAAGGCGTCTGAACGGCCCAGCACAAAGGCATGCGAGAGCACACACCGGTTCCCTGTCAGTGCTGGTTACTCCCGAGGGGATGCCAGCGGGGCGCGCCACCTCCACCGGTTCTGGAAGGAAACCCGCACCGCCCACACACGCCACCTGGGGGCCCCAACACCATACTCATTCGCAGCGGTTTCCCCTGGCAAGAATAGATCCTGCTGCTTATGAGGCAACTCGAGGCAGCCAGTGACAAACTGCGCCAACTCACCCTCGCGGGGGCACAGCAACGGCCACCACACCGCCAACTTCCACACTGGCAGGACTGGCTCTTCATAAACTCCAGCACCCTGCCCACCAAAGCGAAAGGTGGGTTACACCAGTTGTTTTCTTTTCCCCACGCCTGCGAGAAGCAATTCACTGCCTCGGCACCCGGACACCGAAACAAGGAGTTGAACCGCTTTAGCTGGGCATTCCCCGCCGACGTGAAGCGATCCACCGTGTGTGGGCCCCACTTGCGGTCAAGAACCTCAAACCAGACTGGGTTCAGCTTCCAGTCGTCCCCATCCTTCAACTTGCTGAAGTAGTCGGCAACCTCATTCAACCCACGAGGGATCCAGGACACACTCAACTGCACCTGGTGCTCCTTGCACCACCAGAAAATCTTCAAGGCCCACTCCTGCAAGTGTGCCTTCCGACTTCCGTGATCAACGATACGCTCCGCATTCTGGCTGTCCGTCAGCAAGTGCACTCGCCACCCTCTCAGCTCTTCCTTCAGGGACTCGAGAGAAAAGAAGATAGCCGCCAGCTCGTGGTTCCCCGACGAAGTACGACGCAAGTCCCAAGACAAGTACCCCCGCGCGAGCGGTTGCACTGAGCGTAGCCCTGGGCCTGACACAACACCCGCCCAGCCTGTAGCGCTAGCGTCAGTGTTTACCTCCAGCACGTTGACCTCCGGGGGTCGTCAGATAGGGCTAGTCAGCCGCTCCCGGTCTAGCGACTGCCAAAAGTGTAATTCCTCCTGTACCTCCGGGGTAACCGTGACCTCACTCGACCACCCCCAACGGTCGGGCAGCAGGGCTGTCGACGCCCGCGTGAAGAGACGCCCCAAGCACCCGACTACAACGTACATGCTCACTGCGTGTCCCACGACGTGTGCCAGGGTCCTGGCTGGAATGCTAGGCCGTGCTAAGGCCTCTGTGACTGCTCCCTGGAACGATTCCCAACGGTCTGGTGGGACTACGAACACCCCTTTAGTGCTGTCAACCAAATAACCCAGACAGCGCACCTCTGTCGTGGGAGTCAGCATGCTCTTCTCTTTATTCATGGCGACACCCGCCCGCTCGAACTCACGCACGATCTCGTCCCGCCGGCTTGCGGCCATGGTGCGATCCGACCCCAACAAGAACAGGAAGTCGTCCAGATAGTTAATGAGCCGATAGCCTTTGCCCCTCAGGTAGGCTGAAAACTCGCGCATAAGTTTAGAGAATGCCCACGGGGCAGACACGAGCCCGAAGGGCAACACTGTAAACACGTAAAAGCGACCCTCCCATTCAAAGCCTAGGTAATCGCAGGCGTCCTCGCGCATCCGGAGCTGCCATTAAGAGTTTGTGAGGTCTGCACTAATAAGCAAGTCGTTCGGCTGGATAATTTGCTCCAAGTCGGTCAGCTTCTCGAATTTGAACTTTGGGCAGTACACCTTTGGGCAGTACATGTACTGGTTGACATACCGCAGGTCAAGGAGCAAGCGGAATTTGCCGGGCTGACGAGGCTTCGGTATCACATTTAAGGGGTTAACGACCCGCGGGCGCACGCTAACCTGCCGCACAGCTCCTGCTGCCAGAAGTGCTGTGACGGATTCGGTCACAAAGGCCCGCTGCTCCAGCACCCCTTGGTGATTTCGCATGACCCTCGGCGGCGGTGTGACGCCTGCCTGTTTCCACCACAACGGAAACCCCTGCTGCACCCACTGCTTGGTCCACGAGCTGGAGCAGACTGACAGCCACCAGTTGGCGTTCAAGTTGATGTTGCCAGACGCGGCAGGCATCCCGGCGCCTTGAACGACGTCACCCCCCTCGTGGGACCCGGCCCAATCTGAACGCATGTTACACAAGGGCAACCGGCAGTGAGCCGGGCAAAGTCTGACACTCCCTCCTTGAGGGGGTCTACGTCTCTCTGGGACGTCATAGCACATAGCAGCGGCGCGTGGGCCTGCAACCAGCCCGCCGATGGGCTACACCACTCCGGGGCGTTCACACTCAAGTCGTGTCTACATGCCAGTCAGGTCCTACCCCCCGATGGGGCCGTTATCACTCTCACTCACGCCCCCCGACGTGCACAAACCGCACTGCCGGCCCACCGCCCTCACCGTGGCGCGGGTGGGTTCAAGCACATGTTCACAAAGTGCCCAAACTGCTTGCACCTATGGCACTGATCTGTCGGCTTTGGGGCCCGCGGCGGCTTGCTGCCGCCCTGACTCATCGGGGCCATGCCCCCAAACTGCAGCCCCGGTGCGAAGGGCAGCGCCTGGTGCGGTAGCATAGCGCCCTGCACGGACCCGAACCCGACCTGCACCTGGCCAAAGCCGGGCGAGGGCGCCACAAACTGGCGCTGACGGAAACCCGCACCGAACTGCTTCTGCTTCTGCGCCAAGGGCTTGTTACCCCTGCACTCACACTCCTTCTCAGCAACAACACGCTTGTGCATGGACAACAGCTTGCTACGCTCCTCCTCGGACTTGCAGCAGTCAGGGAGGTCCAACGACTCAACGGTTTCCCAACCCACCAACATAGCCTTACGCAGCCGCGTGTTCAGGTCTGTGAGCAAGTTCTCACCCTCGGTGATGGTGTCGTTAGTTGCCTTCTCCAACTCCTCAATCTGCTCCGGCGGGGCCTCATCGCGGCACGCCTCACGTTCGTCCTCCAGGTTGCGGTTGACCTTCTGAAAGGCATGGTAAACTTGGTTCAGCTCCCGGTTCTCCCGCTTGAGCGCCTTGTGCTCCTTGCCCGACTTGTTGACCCAGCCATTGTTGACGTAGTCCAGGTCCTTAAATGGGTGCTCCATGACGCGACCAGACTTGTCGGAAACGAGAACTTTCATAGCTGGCTGCTCCATGGTCATCTCCAGTTGAGCGATGTGCATGCTGACGCTCGCCATTTGATTCTTCAAGGAGACGTAGGTATCCCAGGCGTGGCCCATAGCGGTAGAAAACAACTTCTTGTTTAAGCGAGCCAGAGGGTCAGAGGCCAGCAGGGAGGCGGCCTTCTGGTAGTTGTCGGCTTGCTCAATTGCGGTCAACTGAGCATGCAGGTCTGCGTGCACCTTCTGCAGCTCTACCACTTGGTCACCGACTCTACGCTTAGCTGGCATCATAACGAAGCCCGCAAACATTGCCACTAGGGCAACCTCTAAGCCGAGAAAAGGGAACATGGTTACCGACTGCGCTATCTGCCTCGGGGCGGTGTAATGGGCAGACGACGCAGTGGAAACCTGTCAGTACTGACTATATAAACTCGCGAAATTACTCTTTCCGTCGCGCTCTCCGCGACTTGCCCTTCGTTCTCACCAGTACGGCCCCGCCGTACCACCAACGAACCGCCGAGTATGCTCTCGGCAAATACACAGAAAACCTTGGTTTTCTTTCGTTACTCTCAGAAAACCTACAGTTCTTGGAGCTGAATGCTTTGTGTCCTCATTTCCAAACAATAGGTGGTAGCCTTGGCAGTGTCATATGCCTCTGGCATGCGCTGAGGCTATAGCTTAGCTAAGCTCCCTTTGATGGAGTAGCTCAGTGCATTAATGACCGCATCCATGACCGCATCCATGACTGGAAAACCCATCCATGACCAAGTCTTTCCCCGAGTGATTTGGATTCACTATGACAACGGGTGATCGCGTTACGTCGCGTTAATTCGCGTTCTGAGGCTGTAACACGAGTTTAAAGCGATGTAACCTGAGTTTAAGCACTGATAATGCACCAGTTTGCTTGTGTGTATGGCCTAACACACTTCATCTTCATTCTCATGCGAAGGAATTGAGTAATTTGGGCTGGCAGTGCATTAGCTTAAGCAACTAACACAAACTTTACATGATAGTAAGCATGACCAGGTGACTTTTGACATGAGTGTTAGGTACAACGCAAACGCCTGTGAATGGCATGTGTGACTGCCAATGGTGCAAATGCGTATGCATGTGTGAATGCAGTGAATGATATCGTGAGATTTACGTGACCCTAAACGCGACCAGGTGACTTTGAATGTGTAGCAGCTGGCCGCTGAAAAGGCCTCTCGAGATGCTGGTGGTCGTGCTACATGCGTATTTATAGAGCCGTACTGTGTGCCGGCTGCTACATTCCCCCCTTTTGAAGGGGTCCGTCCCGGGCCCTTAGAGCCTCGTATACCACCAGCCTGTGCCTACCTTCACCTACCCTTGGGCAGTGGGTCCTCAATCCATGTCACGTCATGTGCCAGCCTCACATGCACCTAGCCGTCTTCAGGTTTTTCAGGCACAGAGACAGTCCAGCTACTTTTAAAGTTTGTGCAATATTCGCTCACTGAGTCGCCAAACCCGATTTCCACTCAAGCATGATTGGTGGGGGTTGAGCCGACGACTTCAGGATCGTGAATTTTTATGAGGTCTCGATACCAAATGTAGCAGCTGGCCGCTGAAAAGGCCTCACAAGATGCTGGTAGTCACGCTACGCGTACTGTGTACCAGCTGCTACATTCGTCCATTAGTATCTTTCATGTAGCTGTGAAACAATACTATGCAGTACTGAGGAAATTTTGGCAAATGATAGGCTAGCATAACAATGAATGGTAGCAATTATATGATGTAATAGCCATCCATATTGTTTCATTGCATAGGTGGGGGATTCCCGACTCCAGAGGCAAAGGCACGCGAGCGGGTGATTTCTACCTACGTTGTCGTGGACAAGGCACGCCAGCGTATCTTCACACCCATTTTCAAGCGCATCCTGGTCACGTATTGCCATGGCTCAAAATCAGATTTGCAACCTGGCCAGGAGATTGAGGTAAGCACAACAACAGGATGAATCCACTTGAAATTATAGTAGCTGGTACACTGTCTACCAGCATCTCCAGAGGCCTTTTCAGTGGCCAGTTACTACAGAAGTACCCCGTCATGGATAATTTGCTGCTGTAGTGAAACTCACACCCAATGACACATGCTGTCCCTTTGCCTTTCCCAGGTGTGGGCCAATGACAGTGACGGTGACATGCAGCAGTTGGTGAAGGCCCGAGTCTTGGGTCTCTATCCAAGGTCGCAGATCCTGCTCTGCAGCACAGCCAAGCCCATCAATGCACCAAATCTGGATATCAGTGTCAGGGCCGGAGAGCCGTGAGTTGGTTGGTTGTTGATTGGGGAATGATGCATGACATGTATGGCTGTATATGTATGTGTGTATAGAAGAACAACGAGAAGATCCCTGATATGCCTAGCCCATATACACACAACCTGATAACGGTAGAGCAGTAGGCTCTCTTTGGTTGCTAGAGCTGCTGGTTCATTGCTAATTCAGTAATGTAGCTGCTCCTGGGCTCTCACATGCACTATAAACCCAACCTTTCTAGTCTAGCAAACATACATTCCTTACATGATTGAGAACCAAGCAGGCTATGTACCTATCTGAACAGGATGTGTTTGCTGTCCTGTGCATGTGTACCTGCCTGCATGATACCACTTCCCAAATGTGGGTTTGCAGGTACATCATGCTGGGATGCTCCAACAGGAGCCAGAAGGATCCGTTCTCCATAAGCCATGGCTGCATTTCTACGACAACTCCGGATGCCAATGGGTTTATCCGTGGGGATACAGCACCCGTGCCAGGAGACTCAGGGGGAGGCTGCTTCTCTGCGGAAACAGGGAAGCTGGTTGCCATAAATGTGGCTGCCGATACCCGAAATGGCAACCGTGCTGTACTTGTGCCAGTTTCTGCAATGATATCTATACTGGTGGACCACCATCAGAAGGACGTGCAGGACCTCATGCCTGACTTCATGGAGGGGGATGGCGAAGACCAGTTCACTTAGCAAACAAGTGCAGTGGGTTGAGCTGGTGGCCTGTATTCTATGGGGGGACTTGTTCTTCAGGCTGGGCTAGGCTGTGCCTGGGCCTATGTTTTGGGGACTCCTGGGCCAGCTTGACTTTTTGGGCCCCAGCAATCTGGACAGGGACATTGGTGCACAACTGCCACAAGAACAGCACAATGCATGATGTGTATGTAGAATTTTTGATTGACTAGTGCTTTTTGGCTTGACTCTTCTGTACTGATTGATAAGTTTGCTGATTGCTTGGTGCATTTGTAGTCATGTGAGTAGTCATGGAACAGGGCTGTGAGTGTACAGACTTTCTGGGTACAGACTTTCCCTAATCTCAGTGATGGACTCAGTGGTGATGTTTATGACTCAGGGGGAAGGAAATGTTGACTAAAGGCGACCAGCCAGCAGAAGTTGGCCTGTTGAGCTGCCTACACATGTAAGCACACGCTGTCAAATTCAAACTGTGTATATATCATATTTTTAACCAGCATTAGGCATTTGTATTTGTTCAGACCCTTCCTATAGCAAAACAAACTCTGTGATGTCAACTAGGATGTAATATTACATCCTTAAAACTGTATAGTATATAGCATGCCATCTTGACAAAAATATGACACTGTGTAGGGCCGCCCTGCTGTGACAGCAGCGACTGTAGCCAAGCCAACGACTTTCTCACACTTTATGCTATTTTTGGCTTTTGAAGCTTGCCCTTTTGCGCGTCCCGCCGTGGCCTTTGCATTTGGATGAGTTCATTCAGCCGCTTCACCTCCCGCCCGAATTTCGCACGCTCGCGAACTTTACAAACATACACATAAAGCCCACGCTCCCACTGGGAGCCTCCCAGCTTTTAAAAGCTGGCCTTTGCACGGCCCGTTGTAGCCTTCGCATTTTGGCTTTGTACGAACAGTGTATTCGGGTCGCTCGTACCCTGCATCACATTTTTGCGAGGGGCTGCTTTACAATTCAACATGGCTATTATGCTAGCAATGCTAGTAAGAAGTGTACACAGATTTGCAAAAATGCAACAAATCACCAGTGGTTGGTTCTCTTGACATCTCCCTGGGTACTCTTTGCCAGGGCCAGGTGTGGCTGCACTACTGTAGTAGCTGGCCAGCTGAAAAGACCTCTCGACATGCTGGTGGACGCGCTTGGCGCGTATTTGTAGTTGTTCACGGTGCCGTACAATGTACAGGCTACTACAACTACCCCCAAGCGACAGCTAGGCCTGCAGACCACCCGCTTCAGGGCAGCACCCTGGAAAACAAAGCTACACAAAACCGAAGTAACCAGCACAGTCGCTCGCAGTGAAACATAACCACACAAACCTGTACATCTTAACAGTGGCACTCCTAATTCACAGGAAACCTTAGTTTTCTAGATGCTTCATTTGAGAACTAACAGTCGTTGTCCGTCAGGTCGTTTGCTTTGTCGCAAAAGTAAAATCCCGGAAGCCACGTTGCAACCCACCTCACATCGTGTTTTCCCTAAGGAAACAAAAGCAAAGGACAGCGAACACATGTTTACACAGGGTATTAGTAGTGACAATGGAGCGCAAACGCCTCGTCTGCAACACCCTAAAACTTCAGCCCCATGGGCCACTTCATCGTCCACTTCACAGCAGCCGCCTTTAAAATAGATTTTTAACCAATCCCGCACCTACTCTCATCCCCCACGCCACAGCTACAGCTCACTCCTCGCGCCCATTTCCGCCATACCCCGGAACCCCCCTCCCCATTTCGCTGCTGTCCATGCACACGCCCTCTACCTTTCCCCCTGCACACACACAGACACGCACGCACACACACACACACATACGCACACAACCACTCCACACAACCACCACTCGCACCCCTGCTGGTCCCTCCCTCGGTGCTCACACCCGCAACCCCAGCTGCACCTCCACGGCCTGTCTGAACGGCTCCGGTGGCGGGCCCCCCAGCGCCACCTCGTGCGCCTGTAGCTCCTCCCGCAGTCGGCCACTGCCTACCAGCGCTGCGGAGGGCTCCGCATAGCGCCGCAGCACCGACCTCAGCCAGCCCGACAGCAGCGACACAGCCGACTCGGCCTGGGTGGCGGACTCGTCATCAGTGGCGGTATCCATCCGCACCATGGCGCGGTTGAACAGACGAACAAAGCCCAGGTACGTCTGCAGAAAGGGGGGTAGGGTAGTGGGCGGGTAAAAGGGAAGCCGTGTGGGGGTCATATGAATATGAGGGGTAATGGGCCAAACGGGCCGAATGGTGTCGAGGGGGGGAGGAACATATGCAAAAACTCAGAAATGAACTCTGCCGAAGTCCAAAGTTCGAAGCTGCCGGAGTCCAAAGTGTTTGGGGGGAGAGAGAATATTGATTATAACGCCGGGACAGTGGATTGATGTCTGACAGTGGTGGTGGTGGTGGTGGTGGTGGTGAGTTAAATATGTGTGGTCGAGCACGGATGGGGCGGGGTGGTTCCAGGCCGTGGCGTAGCATGGGTTGCTGCATGGAGATTTCGCGCCCACACATGACCCACATCGCAGCAACCCAAGCACACCTTCCAAGCCGGTGGTAATGTACCCCTTATCATCATCACCTCCGCAACTTACCCCTCCACCTGTTCCCCCGGCAATACTGGGCTCTCCCCTCTCCCCTTTCCACCCCCGCAAAACGAGTTTTCTTGCATACGTTTCCCCCAAAAACGAGTGAGTTGCCTCGGTGGGTGCCATGTCACCCGCTCTTTGGCTGCTCACAGCAGCGGCAGTTGTGGCCCTCTTAACAGGAGGCCAGCCGGCCCTCCAGCACGGCCTAACACTGTAAGCCCGGCAGCCACGAGAGCAGAAAGCCCCTTTTCCTCGTCCTCATCCTCTCATATTCCCTCACCAGCCCTCCGCACTTGGGCCCCAAGCCTGAGCTCCGCCCCCATACATTCCCACACACACACACACACACACACAGACACACACAGACACGCCAGCTACTCCCCGTCCCCGACTCAAACCCTCCTCACCCACCAGCAGCAATGAGTCTTGGGCCTGAGCACTGCTCCGTTCCAGGCAGTCCCGCACCACCTCCACACACCGACTGGCCTGCTCAACCTGAGGTGGACGGGGGGGGGAGAGGGGAAACGAAAACACGAAAAATCCCGATGCAGGGTGGCGGGAATTTTTGGGGGTGCGGGGAGGAGGAAGGGAGTTACTTGCAGGGTGGTTGTGGACGGTGGGGTTGGGGCAGCTCAGGGCATGCAGCGCCATATCAGGAACGGTGTAGAACAGGAGGGATGGGATTATAAACTATAGAGGATAAGGCGGCAAGGGAGGAAAATTCGGCAAGTAGGCAACTACTAGCGCTAGTCATATAGCCCTAGACATCAATCAGTTGATCAGCGCTGTTACTTTGCACACGCGGCACATGGTCCATCGCCCCCACCTCAGCCCCAGTCCCCGCCCCAGAGCTTCATGCCCCGGCCCCGGCCCCAATTTCCTCCTCACCTGCGCCGCCACGTCTCTCTCCCGCTGAACCAGCCCCGGAGCCCCCGCCGCAACACTTTGGACCACACCCGAGTGAATGGACTGAACCAGGCCGACAGCGGGTGTGGGTGAGGGTGGCGGGCGCAGGACAAGCGACGGGTGGGGGAAGGGGGGAAGACGAACCGCGAGCAAGTGAAAGTGATACCAAGGACGGGTGGGGGAAGGGGGGTTGAGGGGGGAAGGTCGGCCAACTGGTACACGGCTCCTGCTAGCCGTAGAGACCAAAATAGGACCAACATAAGCACATAATGCGGTGAAGGAAGTGGCCCCAAATAGGGGCTGGGCGCTGCCGCTGCCCTGTGGTGACAGCCCATCTGGAGGACCGCGTGGGTTCCACACAGCGAAACACACCTGACACGCACCCCGAAACCACATCACTACCAGCATCCTCCGGAAGCAGAAATACCAGCAGCAGCAGCGGCAACCACTGCCAGCATATACACTAAGCCCTCTCCCCCTCTTCCCTCACTCTTCGCTCACCTCCAGTTGCGCCATCTTCTTCTCCCAGCCCTCCAGCTCCGCTGGCAGCTCTAGGGGCATCCTCACTACGCGGTCCAGGGCGTGAAGCAACACCTCCCAGCAGCCACTGCACAGCACAGGCTCATGGAAGCAGCTGGGAGAAAAAGGGGGGAGGAAGGGGGTTAGAGATGTGGGTGTGGTGGGGAAATGCTTAAGGACATCGGGACGCACACATCATCTTGCCGAGGACCAGGGGGCTAACCCCACCTAACCTTCATTCCAAATATGTGTTTGAGCAGATGCGTGAACCGAGCCCTCTTGCTACCGAGCATAATCGGACCTTCCCTCCTGCCAAGAGCCCACAGCAGCCCAGCCCTGCCCTGCCCTCCTCCACATAATTTCGGACAGTCGTACCCCTCCCGTTCCTCTTTCCTCCACTACCCTGGCATTCACCTCCCCCTCCCTACCTCAATGCACACGTAGCCGCTGCCGCGCCACCGCCGCCACGTCCCTCCTCCGCCTCCCCCATCTGCACCTCCCCCACAACTCCCCGTGCCCCCTCCCTTTCACCCTCCAATCTCCCTCCACTCCCCCCTTGCTCCCCCTTCTTCTCCTCCTCCCCCGCCTCCCGGTCCCCAAACAACGCCGCCACCACACCAGCGCCCTCAATCACGTGCAGCGCCAGCATCCTATCCACTACCAGCAGCAGCCGCTGAGGCTCCCCGCCGTGGTACCGCCGTACTACACCCATCATGGCCATCTGCCCGGGACTGGCACCCAGCGCGGCTGCGGTCGCCTCCCACGTCCCCGGCTGCAGCAGCCCCAGCGCCCCCGCCTCCACATCCGCCTCCACCAGGCAGCTGCGTACCGCCTCCGCGTACCGCTCTACTGCCACGTGCAGATGGGAGGGAGACTTGACGCCCATGGCTAAGATGAGAATGGCGAGAACCTGGGGGTTGGCGGAATGGGCAGCGGAAAGCGGCAAACAACAGAAGAGGCGAGGGAAGACGAACCACAGACGAGTGAAGCTGATACCAGGGATAGACGGATACTACTACGCAGGAATAGACAGATATACATACTGCAAAAGTGTTTTGGCCAGCTAGGTTGCAAAAGAGTATGTAGCTGCCGCGTCCAGAGGCTGGCCGGTCCAAAGGAGAAAAAGAGAAATGACCACCTAGCCGCCGAGATCAATGAGGAAAGTCGTAAAGAAAGCGGAAATGCAAAACAAACGGCAGTGGTAGAAAGTCAGAACAGAAGGGGGGGTTGAGCGGGGTGGCGAAGTCTGCGACAGAATGGACACATCAAACTGCCGACATCCTCCCGTGAATGAAGACAGGGCCCGGGGATGGGGTAGGGGAGTTGATTACGAGTTGATTACGACTGCTAACAGCACTCGTGCAAACCTTTTTCACTTCCTATCCGACACTACACCACACGCGCACACCGTCAGCACCCGTCGCCGGCCAAAGTCCATATCACATGCATCCGCACCCACCCATATATACACCCACCCACACGAGCTGCCCTCCCCCCCTTCCTCCCCCCTTTTTCCCCATCCTACCTTGGCCGTCGCCAGCGGCCCCTGCTGCTCCACTAGGTGCCCGCAGTTGGCATGCAGCCAGTCCATCACCTTGGTCGACCACAGCGCCGCCACCTGCTCGGGCCGCAGCGACCGGGCCTTGCTGGCCGCAGCCACTGAGCTGCCCTCCTGACGGCACCACATTACCAGCAGACCAGCCGCCTCGGAGACTGGGTCTACAGACCAGGATGCTGCCGCCGCCGCCGCCTGCTGGCGGGCCACCTCCGCGGCCCCCTCCCCACCCGCTGCTCCACCCTCGCCCTCGCCTTTGACACCATTCCCACCCTGACTCCCCTGCTGCTCGGGCTGAGGCTGAGGCCGCTCCTCCCCATCCACTTGCATAGCACCCGGCCCGGCCCCCGGCTGCTGCTGCTCCTGCTGCAATTGGTCGTCTTCCAGGAGATCGGGGTCGGCTTCGTCGGTGATGTCGCGACGGTGGGGGCCGCCACGTCGGCGAGCTGCGGGCGCCTGCTGCTGCTGTTGTTGTTGTGATGGATCCTTGGGAGGTTGCATGTGCGCGGGCTGGTGGTGTGGCAGGTTGCCAGGCAGGGGGGGCCCTGACAGGGCGGGGGGAGCACCCAGCAGCGCCTGGAAGTAGGGCGGCAGGGACTGGGGGAAGGGGAGAGGGAGCGGAGGTAAGAGGGCGCGGCAATGAGAGAAAGAGCCATGGGAAGAAGGGGGAAAAAAGGGGGAAAGACGAACCACGAACGAGTGAAGCTGCTGCCAGGGCAATAGTGAAAAAGGGGGGGGGGAGAAATCCAAAATATGGACAGATGGACCCCACCCAGTGGGGGCGCAGGATGATGCTGAGGGAGGGGGCCACTACCAACCCCAAACCACGCTCTCACCTGCTTCACCACCGGATAGTCCGCCAGCCTCAGCAGGCGGTGCAGCAGCAGCATCACAAAGCACCGCTGCGGGTCATGAACCGGCCGCTCCGAAACCCACTGCCACCGGTCCCACGGCCACTGAAACCCAAAAGAACAGAGGTGATACGACAGCCACGACGCCAGGCGGAAACGCAGCTCCGGATCCAGGTACGGCATACAGCCGAAGAGCTCCCGCACGCAGGAAGACAGCGCCCGGGCGAATTGGAACTGCGGCACTTTGCACAGATCCACCAGCACGGTGCAGTAGGCGGCGTGGGAGAGGGCGGGGCTAGGGAGCCGCAGCATCTGGCTGAACAGCGCCTCGGCTACGAAGTTGCGCACGTTGGTCCGGTCGGCGGAACCAAACACGGAGGCCAGGTGGTGGGGTAGCGCCCCGGAGAGAGTCAGGACGCAGGCGGTCCTGGGAGGGAAAGTGGAAGGCGAGGGGGGCCGGGTGTGCAGGGAGGAGGCGGAGGGGGGGGGAGGAGCTACATGAAGCAGAAGATAAAAGAGTTAACTGGCGAGTCCAAAGCACCAAGTACTGGGAAATCGGAATGGGAATTGGCATCATCCTGCCAAAGAATTGGGAGCCGTGGGGCCGAGGTCTATTTTATGAAGGGGCAAAAAGGAGAGGGGCGTGAAAATGCATAACGAACTCGCCAGGCAGTCAACGACGCCACTAACGGAATGAGCGCCGCTCTGTGACTTGGTCTCACCTCTTCTGCGTGTTTTCGCGTGGACGGATGGTTGCGCCGGCAACCCCCTTCATCCCCTAAGTCCCTCCCAATCCCCCCCCCACACATACACCCCCTCTGGTGCTTTGGACGCCGGCCTCTAATCTTTTGCTCCTTGCAACATACGAGTCCTACACCATCACGCCATCACCCTCACCACCCCCCTAAGTCCCCCTGTTTTCTCCCACCTGTCGCTGCTGAGTAAGGCCAGGGTATCCAGAACGTACTCCTCCACGATCAGCCGCTCCACAGCCGGCAGGTCCTTACCCAGGTACTCGCGGGCGAGCAGCCGGATGCCGCCCCGGGGGGGGAGCAGCCGGCGAACACGGGCCGACATGACAGCCGGGGGGGAGGAGGTGTCCACTCCTAGGGAGTGGAGGGAGGGGGTGAGGGCAGAGGGGGAAAGACGGGGAATCGTAGGGGATGCAGGAATGCAAAAGCAATGACCGCCGCCGTGCGTTCCAAGCACCAACTGCGGGCGGGGGGAGTCCAAAGCAATCACGCAACACCGCACTCGAAAGTGCCCGGAGCCTGGGAAGCCCAAAGACACACGACGAAAAGGTTGCGTACTTGGATGGGAAGGAAGGAAATCCTCCTCCTCCGCCATTGTTTTAAATCTGGGCCCTTCTCCCGGACTCCCGCATATCGTCGCTCCTGCACTTCCACAGCGTCTACTCCCCTCCTTTACAAAAAAAACCTTTAAACCCATCCCCACACATCTTCCCGCTCACCCCTCCCTTTGGCCATCTCTTCTCCCTCCGTCAGCCTCCCCAACCCCCTCCTTGCGATTCCCCTCTCACCTGCGGGCCAGGTGGGCAGCTCCAGCGGCTCCAGGTCCTGCAGGGGCTGTGCCGCCGCCAGCTTCTGCAGGTACGGCACATGCGGCCCCGGCAGCACCTGCACCTCCCAGGCGTTGTCCCGGCACTCCATGATGGCGGACCACAGCTCACCCAGGAAGGAGGCGCCGCCACTGTCACTCCTGCGGCGGACGGGGAGAGGGAAGAGGGACGGGCGGGGTGAGGGGCATTGGATGATGGAACGCAAAAGACTATGACTCCCCTCTTATTCTTTCCCCCACCCCCCCACCCAGAGGGCCCACCTGGCGGCCAGGTCCTCCTCACTACGGGAGCCCAACATGGGCCGAAGAGACTCATCCACAGACACAGGCCTAGACGCCATGTACGACTCCACAATCGCCAGCAGACCCGTCAGGCTCGTCCCGCCGTCACCGCTGCCGTCAATGTCGCCCAGGCTCGCTGCCGCCGCCAGGTCCCGACCGCACCACGGCAGCGCTGCGAGCACGGCGTACACCAGGAAATCCGACCAGGGCTGCACGGCAGCCGCGGCCGCAGCAGCGCCGCCACCCCCGTCATCCCCCGCGCTTCCCAGCAGGTCCTCACGATCGTCGAGGATGTGGCCCTGCTGCGCTGCCAGCGCTGACGCCTGCGCCAAGGCGGCGCTGGCGGCATGTACAAACGCCGTAAATGTGCTCAGCAGCCAGGACGCGGATACGACATTGACGGCGTGCAGTGCAGCCAGATATCGCAGCAGCTGCTTGGCTCGGTAAATTCGTGGCTCAGGTGCCGCCAGGCAGTCCCGCAGGTCAGTGATGACGGCGGCGGTGATGCGGCGACTGAAGTCGGGGCGCTCCGTGTTGAGGATGCCTGCGGGGGGGGTACAGGTTTAGGGGGAGGAGGTGGGTCATTAGGGGGTTATGGGCTGACTGGCAGTTAGATGGGACTAACGAGTCGGTCATGAAATAAGGAAGCAGGGTTTATAGGAGATCAATGGGACGAGGGGTATATGAAAATGTAAGTGGGTAAGGGGAATGCGGGATAGGGGGGCGGGAAATCTGGGGACGGCCGCAAGGGCAGCTCCGAAACCGCTTCGATGACCACGTAAATCAACTACTGCATGCGGAAAACGGGCAGGATAGGAGAATAATGACCAGGCTGGCTCCACTCCCAACCTGAGCCTAGCGGGGTGGAAAGGCCACTTCCCCACCGTCCCATCCCTACTGCTGGCAGCTGCTTTGGACTCCAGCATGGGTGCTATAGTGGCGCCTTGGACGTTACGTCAGCAGCTATCTGCTGCAATATTGAATCGTGTAATTCCCGCCCTACCATCCACTCCACTCCACTTCACGCCTCCGCACGCTGGTCCTTTTTCGACCCCGCCATACTTACCGCCACCGTTTGCCATTCATCCGTTGCTTCCCCCCTCACCCTCGCCCTTGTCCCCTCCTCCCCCCGCAGATGCCCTGCTCCGAAACCTGCCTGTCCCTTCGCGCTGATCCCTCACTGCCCCATTCATTCCACCTACCCAGCGCAAGAGCATAGTGCTGTGTCTTGAACGAAACCTCCACCGCCGCCTCCACCAGCAGCCCGGCCACATTATCACCCCCGTGCTCCAGGTCCCGCCGGCAGCTCTTTAGCAGGTCGTCGAAGAAGCGCTCGTCAGTCCAGTTGTCTCGTCCGGAGCCCTGACAGAGGGGGGTCAGGGGGGAGAGAGGAGGCATTTCACTTGAACGGTTGCACAGCCTGCACGACCCCCTCGTTCATCCCGCCCCTACCCACCCAAAGCCCTCAACATACCTACCGCCCGGCCGGCCGCGGCCCCCCTCGGCATTAGGACGTCGGCAGTTATTCGCTTGACCTTTGTATACATATATCCCCTTCTGGCTGTATCTCCCTCATCCGCTCAGACCTCACTGCTTCCCACCCCACCAGCGCAATGGTCGCACCCCGCTTCATTCAGATTTGGAGCCTCCCACTCCCAACTCCACGCCTATCCTGCACACATCCTATCACTGCGACCAAGCCCGGGGGCGCTCCATTCCATCCCACTCCGCTCCACACCGTTCGAATGTCGTTGGCCGTTCCTGCTTTGCTCTTGCGTGGAGACAAGCCCCAATGCATCTTTACACCCCATTTCAGACCAACACGCGTCTCCCCTCTTACTTGACTTGATCCCTTCCTATTTCACATTGCCTATTGTGGCATGCCTGCTGCTCTCACCGTGTTACGATCGCACACGCCCAGCAGCTTGGCCACCAGCAGGTGCTGCGGACTCAGCTTGGGGGGCTGACCCTCGGGACCCTCATCTCGACCACGCTTTCCGCCGATGTAGCTGCGCTGATAGCCACCGCCGCCACCAGCGCCGGGCCCCCGCCCTCCGTCTGTGCCGTGGTGCTGGACCCCTCCGCCATGGCTCCCGTAGCCGCCGCCGCCACCACCGCGGCCGTACCCGCCACGGCCGCCACCGCGTCCTTCACCGCCGTGCCAGCCGCCACCTCGACCACCTCGACCGCCGCTGCGGTGATTGTGATAGCCGTGCTGGTCGTACCCGCCACCGTAGCCCCCCGCCCCACCTCCGTGACCACCGCGGAACGAACGATTGTGATGGTGGTACTGCCGGTCTCCCATCCTCAGATTCGCGGAGAAAACAGCCCAAGTCTCGCCGACCTCAAGCAGGAAAAAATGGCGGCCAGCGCTATGGGAGTTGATTTATTACTAACTTAGATAATCAGTATTCCTCATAACTCCAGCATGTATGATAACTGGTCCTTTGAGAGGAACTCTTCCCAAGCAGATCCACGTTGCCAGTGGCGTGCTCAGCAGTCTTATAGCAAGTCAGTTACACAGCTGAAACAAGTTAGCATACGTCATGTTTGCATATAAGATGCTTGTTGCCTGAGGAACTAATGCGAAATCCAATTGTACGACATGAACTGTTTTGAGCGCCTGTGACCAACATGGATGGCAGGGATAACAGGAGAGAACTTAGCTCACTATGGGTCGATGCAAATATGTTTGACGCAAAATGTTCGTGTATGACCACACTTTGCACCAAGGTTGACTCGGTAACGGGGACTACTTTGGAGTAGAGGGAGTACTCCAATTGGCCAAAGGACACGGCGGTGGGACTACAGACGTAGGCAGGTGTCAAACAACATGTCGCTGAAGGAATTGGCCAGTCTGGCGCCTTGGAACTGGGACCCACAGGCGGCAAAGCACCCGCCGAAGAGGGCAGCGCTGCAAGACTTTGAAAAGGTAAATAGAGAACTCTATGCGTGCATGAGGCTAGGGATGTTCTTGGAGCGCCAAAGTGCTTCGGGTTTGGGACGATTTCGGTTGGAACCGCGGAGCTCCGCAGCCGAAACATTTTATGTCGTGGAGGTTTCGACTTTCCTTGAATCCGTATACCAGTGTCTGCATGCTAATAAAACTACTATTTGTGGATATAACAAAAACCTTTCGCGCCTTTGCAGATTGAGTCGGCATGGCGGCACGACGTAAGTTTTCGGGGCAGGTGCACAACAACGGTGATTCCACGGTTCCGGCCTTGGATCGGAGGCACAGCTAACTCCATATAGACCTGGGGAAAGACTGCCGAGCGTACTTGGGTTTGGACGGGTTGGTTAATTCTCGTTATTTAATGCCTTGCGCGTTAAAAGCGCGTCAGAATGATCGTACTGTGCCTTTATTCAAGTTGAGGCACTTTTCTGTTGTACCCTCTTTGCTCGGCAGTAAAACCTCCCGCCACTGCTGCAGGATACTGCACACCAGACACCGGCACCAGCTCCGACGCCGCGGGAGCGGCGTCGTTCGACAGCGCTGTCAGCTGCAAGCAATTCGATGGTGAGGGGTTCCTGTTTCCAGCTTTGTCGGAAGCACAGAGGTTTCCGTGCTTTACTTGGCATTCTGCTCTTACCTTATGGGGAGCTTGTCTAGGGAACTGAGAATAGTACCCATAGCAACCGGGGCGACAGGGGACCGCACCATGCTCCCTACAATGCTTGACTGGCCTGCTCCTATTTTGGTGTCTGCCATATCCAGGAAGTGGGCTGGGAAACGCCCAATGCAAGTGGACTGGCCCGGAAGGCAGCTAGTGCAGGTACGGCATTGCTCGCACGGCGCTGTCTGTGCATGTTCCCTTATCACGAAGTTCTTTGACGAGCATCGCTTCTAGGTTTCCAGCTCCGTCTGCAGCTGTTTACAATGCAGGAGCAGCTGTCGAACTGCACTGGGCATTCACCCGGGCAAATCCCTGACCCGCGTCCCGCGCTACCTCTCCGCCCTGCCCCAACACAACCCCAGATCGTGCGCGCAGCCTACTAAAACGGAAGGCCATCGAGCTGCAAACACCCGACTCACAGAAACATCCCCCAACCCAGCAGCAGCCATCAAGCAGCAGCCTGCAGACCCGCGACCGCCAACAAGACCGAGATGCAGCACCTGACGCACGGGTCACCCCGGTCGCGGCACGGCCTACCGCGGTCCTTTGCCCTGCGCAGCAGCCATCGCTGCAGCCGCAGCCACCACGGGCGAGGGCAGAGGCTGCCGGCGGTGGCGCCAGAGCCACGGATGACAGAGACGGTACGGCGTGTGCTGCCGCGGACGACTCTACGCGCAATATCTGGATGGCAGCAAACGAAGCAGTGCCGGCTGTGGGTCAGACGCCGGCGGCCACGCAGCGTGATCTAGCCATGCGGCCGCCTAGGTGGACTCCGGCAGGGTTGCGCGGCTCGGTAACGCAGCTGCAGCCATCACCCGCAACTGGCCGCCGGGTTGATTGGCAAGGTGATGGGACTTGCGCTGTCGATGGCGACGGTCGAACATTTGAGGGGACCGTGGTAGGATCCGCGGTGCAGCTGCCGTCGGCAGCGGCGCCGCCTACTACTGATGCAGGGGTCACACCATCGCTGCTCGCATCCGCCGACGCCGCTGTCACTACCACTCATGTTGTTGGATCCGCTGAAGGTGCTGTGGATGGGGGGTTGGCCGGAGTGGTGTCGGCGGCGCGGCAGCGGTCTAACTTGACGAGCCAAAGCCGCAGCGGCAGGGTTGATGGCGGGCGTGCTGGCAGTCAGGGGCCGGCTTCCGCCCCTACAGGTGGAGCACGGGTCCAGCGGGGATCTGCTTCTGGGCTGCCGTGGGCGATGCGGCGTTACTCAAGAACCATCATTCTCCGCGATCTTGACATAAGGTTAATAATGGAGGAAGGCGGTGAGCGAACCGGCAGCAGCGCACAGAGCGATGGGGAGGCCGCGGCACCGCAGGTAGGGGTGGGCGTTTCCGCAGCCACCGCGCTGCCACTGCCAACGGCCGAGGTAACTGCCGTTCAGGACGGAGCCGCCTTACAGGCCACTGCTGATGCAGTACATGTTGATCCTGGCGCAACGGCGGCGGCTGGAGAGCTGCGGTTGGGGCAATGCAGTGAAGGACAGCAGGAGGCGGCAACTGCTGCCGCGGTGCAGTCGGCGTCTTGCTGCCCAACGGTGCCAGCCTCTTGTGGCCGCGGATCACAGCGCCAATCGGCAGCGGTGCTCGCTGGTGTGTACAGCACACCTGGAGGCGTAACAGCACAAGGCATGATGAGGCCTGCTGGCCGACCAGCACCTGGGTCCGCAGGCATGACAGACACTGGCCGTAGGACCGCCGCCGCCACGTTAACAATGGGCGAGCCTTGCAGCAGCCCTGGCGGCAGCTCCGCCGACGCTAGGCTAGCGCTATTGCCGCCGTCAGCTGCCGTTAACGATAACCCTAGCTCCACTCCGCTCCGGAACCAGGCAGGTGCGCACAGCCGCGGTGATGTCCACGGCTTGCTGTGGAGTGATACCGGGCCCTCAGCCTCTGCCCTGGCAACGCGACTAAGTGTCGACGGACACACACCCTACAGCCGCGGTGACCGGCTCTGGTTGTCGCCTGCGTCGCGGCAGCGCCCGTCAGCCGCCCGCACCATGCGTACGCCGCTGCAGCGGCACCTGTCCTCGTCAAGTCCAATGCAACCGCCGCGCTTCGACCCCAGTCCTGCGAGCCGCAAGCAGCCTCAACAAGCACACAAAATGCAACTGGAGCAGCAACAGCAGGAACAGGAGCACCTGGATTGCGGTGGCGGGAATGCTGCGGCCGTGCTTGCAGCTGCCAGCGTCGGCAATCTAGAGGCAGCAGCTGCGTCCGGTATAGCGGCTCGCCCGTCGCTGTTTAAGCTGACTCCCACTACCCACAGGCGCTTTGTCCTCCAGGGCTCCGTGGTGGAGGGCGTGTCGTCAGTTCAGCCCCGGAACAGCGCCACCAGCCCCAAGGATCTGTCCAGCACCCCACCGTCCGACATCACCACCACCACCACCACCACCCACCAGGCCCCTGCGCTATGGCGGCCTCACATCGGTGCGCAGGATAACGGTCAGGGCTTCACGTCAGTTGCGGCGAATGGACCCGGGCAAAGCCCGGTGTCGGGGGCGCACGAGGGCCAGGTCCTGTCCGCCCCTGCAGATTTGTGTGGATTGCTGCAGGCCACGGCAACCATAATATCGCAGGGGCCGGTCCCTGAGGGCGCTGTGAGTCCAGGCCAGGCTATGCCGGGTGGTCCTGATGTCGATGGTGGGTGTGCTACTGTCACCGGTGGGCAGCCGCTACACGGCGCAGATCTCACGGCATGTAATGGTTCAATGGGGAGGCAGCCCATTCAAGGCGTGACGCCGCGTGCCGCGCTGGCGATGCGACAGGGCTCCCAAGCGCCGCCTGCCGCCCTCCGCACACGCAATGCTGAGGAGAATGTGACGATGGTGGTGCTGCCGGCTGGCGCATGCTGCGGATCACAGGGATCAGAACACCAACGCGCCGCCTCGGCCGCTGCACGTGCCATTAGAGCAGGAGCTGGGACCCCTGTGCCCCGTTTCGGCGTGAGCAGCACCACTGGTATCTCCGGCTCTGCGGCTGGTGTAGGGTCACAGTACGGCGGTTTCGGAGCGCTGGACAAGGGCACCGTTCAGCGCGCTGTCACCCCAGCCAGGGAGAATGCAGCCTCCTTGGACAGCCGGATCCTGGCGCCCGCGGGGACAGCGATGGAGGCCTCCCCTCCTCACCAGGCTAGGGACTCCAAGACTTCCTATGACCCGTCAGGTGGCAGCCCGGCGGTTACGATGAGCGGGCCGCGGCCGGGTGCCAACATGGCAATCACGGAGTCTGGGCACCACCAAACTCATGCAGAGAAGGCAATGGAGGAGAAAGAAGGTGGAGGCATGGCTGCGGGTTTCGGAGCGGCCGCTGATGGCGGATGTTCGGCGGAGCTGCTTCGGCCTGCGAAACGGCAAGCAGTGGAGGCAGCGGCAGGGGGGTTAAACGCGGACGCGATTAAAGTCTCCGCGCAAATAGCCGCCAAGCCACCAGAGGTTGCGGTGTTTGCGACAGTCGCGATGACAGAGCTTCAGGAAATGCAAACGGAACAGCAGGCGCAGGTGACGCGGCAGTCCTTTGATTCACCCGATGTGGCTGGAGGGGGCCTCGCTGGGGACGCGGTGGGCTCCCCAAAGCACGCCGCCGAAGCAAAGACACCGACCGGGAAGGCGAGTGCCAAAGGGGACGCGGCGTCAGCAGCGGCCATGGGGGAGGTTTCACCTGGCGGGGTTTGTACTGAGCAGCCTTCCCTGCCCCACGTGACACTGACTCAGCAGCAGCTGGTCGTGCTGGATCAGCTGTTGACGTTCTTCCGAGCTACAGGGTGCCGGCACCCTTCGGCCATGTCGGCTGCGGAGCTGGTGGCGGCTATATCCAGTTTCTGTCAGGTGACAATATGAAGTGTAATGTGTGTGAGGCCTTGGAAAGGAAAGGAAGCATCGCGCATGTGTTCAACTCCGACGTCGTGTGTAGAAGCAGGGTTCAAAGGGAAGATTGCCGTGTGGCGTGGTGCGTATGTGCTCCATAAGCTGACCTTGGGGCATTGATGATAAGTGTGTGGGAAATGGCCTCCTTTGCCAGGCTGGAGCAAGGCTAGAGTTGTTTTTCTACAGGGTGAATAGAGCCACACGCAATAGATTTTCCCTGCACGGAAGCCGACAGGAACTGTATTACGAATGAAACAGTTATTTGCTCTGGCTCTCGCTCTGGCTGCAGCAGCAACAGTAGCAATAGCCCCTGGCCAGCGCCGCGCTGCGTTCATGGCAACGCGCTACACACATCACGCTGCGCAACCTATACCCACCCACCACCATACAAATCCCTTCCTTCCTGCTGTCCCACGGAACGCGACGCCAAACCGCTGGCACCTTCCCGTCCTCGCCCTCGCCCGCCCTCAGTCCGCCGGCATCCCGGTAGTTCCGTCCAACATCCAGACACTTGCCTCTTGGTTGGGTACTCTCATGGCACTGGAGAAGCCCGTCAAGGCATACGCCCAGGCGCAGGCCCTGGCACTGGCGCGTGCTCGAGCCCAGGATCAACAGCAGCAATCCGAAAACCCCGAGCTGCCGCAGCCACCGGTACAGCCGCCGCCGCAACAGCCGCCGGAACAGCAGCAGGCTCGGACCGAGCCATCGCCGGAGCATCAGCTGCAGCAACAGCAACAGCAGGAACAGCTGCCGCAGCCTGCTGCGGGTGCACTTGCACACGAATCTGAGCCCGGCGGTGCTGTGTCTGCGAAAGTACAAGCGGGCCAAGACGACAGCCAACCGGCAGGAGGAGCAGCAGGAGATGGTGAAGGACATCGCGGAAGCGGCGCCCCGCGGCAGGGTGATGACTCGCTGCAAGGCGTTCAGGAGCGACCGGTGGGGGATTCCGTGCCACGCATAGGGGAGCAGCTGCAGCAGGTGCCAGGGCTGCAGGTTCAGTCCCAACGATGTCCTACATGTCTTCCGAGCGCAGAGAATGCGCCACTGCCCCAGCAGCAGCGACAGCAGCCATTGGTTGTGCGAGGTACGAGAATGGGGTTGAAAGGGGCCGTGTTTAAGTGAACGGGACCTGCGCACGTGTGAAGCACTGGGGGTTTGGTAGGCACGGCAGAGTTCTAGGCTTTGGTTGCTACTACGAAAGCGGTCCATGTGATTCCCCAACTCTTGGCTGACGGTGCTGATGCAGCCGACGGAATGGTACTACGCGCGGAATTGTAGGCTTATTGGATAGGGTGAAGGCGCGAAACCTATTGTACGGTGGCCGCGGTTGAGGCGGCATCTGTCGGCGTTATCAGCGCTAATACGCCACGGCTACGCCGTTTTCGAGCGCTGACCCTTCCCAGACACCATTTCCCCCGCGTGCGCTTCAGGTCCATGATCCCACTGATATGAGTTAATAGCTCTGAAGGGCTCCCCGTCGTTTCCGGGGCAATCCCTCGCCCCTGCTCTGTGCGGTCACTCTCCCCTCCCCCTTTTCGCAACCCCCACCGCACGTCCCAGATTCGGCGGCTGATCCACTCGCCATGCAAGCCGGCGGCCGTATGGCCAGCGGCGGCTCCGAAACCAACAGATGCCCAGAACCCCCCCAGCCGCAGCTGCTGCCCATCTTGCCCCTGGACCCCGCAAAGCCCCTAGGGCCCACACCCCTTGAGTCGCTGTCTTCTGAGTGGTCCTCACCCTTATCGCCCGCGGTGACGGCGCTGTATGAGCGCCTCGCGAGCTGCCAGCAGGCACTGCGAAGCGCCCTGCTGTCAGTGGCGGCGGCGCAATCTTCTTCTTCGTACGGCGCCGTGTCATCTTACACTTCGCAGCGGCAGCAGTCAACGGGTTCTGCAGAAGCGTCCGTGCACGCGTCCGCCGCCCCCGCCGCTACGGTGCCGGCGGCGACGATAGCAGCTACTGCGGTGCCGGCGGCGGCGGCAGCTAACGGCGCAGCGGCATCTGCGGTTACCGATGCCCAAGCTCTCCGCTCAGGAGCCCAGCATTCTGCATCATCGTACACCCCGTCAGCCCTCGCACAGCAGCTACACTTGCTGCTAACCCGCCACCACCAACATAGCCACCAGCCGCAACAACAGCAGGTGCAGGCCTGGGGAGCGGGACCAGCGGAGTCCACAAAGCCTGGTTTAATGGCGGCAGCAGCGGCAACAGCAGGATCAGGTGGTAGTGGCGGCGGCACGGAGGCGTCCGCCTGGCCAGCTGCCGTACAACCACCCGCCTTAACAGCCTCCAGGGTTTTGTCTTGGCCGCCACCGCACCCAATTCAGCTGCCGGGAGCAGTGCCTGGTGGCGTCGGACCGCGTGCGAGCAGCAGTAGTAGCGGCAATGGCTGCAATGGAGGGGCGGCCGCTGGCGATGCGAACAAGGGGAGTTACCTTAACCAACAAGATGCCCGGCCGGGACGGCCGGTGCACGCATCACCGGAACCTGTCGATCATCCTCCGGCTGCCCGGCGGCGCCGCCGCCGCCGCCACTGCAACTGGTCGCCGGGAATACTGGTGTCCCTGCTGGCGGCGGCCTCTTGGCACGTGATAGCCAGACGGCAGCGCAGCCGCTGCAATCGCAGTCGCACGAGATACAGTCAGCACTCGCTGCGCCGCCTCAATCGTACACATACATGTCGGGCACCGCCTTGCCCGCCGCTGGGCTCCTGCCGGGCTGGGGCGCGAGGCAGGGCCACCATTGCGGCTGGACAGTTACCAGCGGGACGGCTGCGGCTACTGCCCCCGCTGCTCCTGGTGCGAGTACCGCAGTGCCGGGCCCTGCGTCCCAGTCGATGATGCCGCCGCCAACCCGGCCTCAGGGGCAAGCGATTGCCGCTGGGCCCCAGCCTGGCGCTATGTCGTCAGAGCCGCTGGCTTCGTCCCGCCGGGTAGCTACTGGTAGTGACACAGCGGCGGTGGTGCAGCCGGCGCCGGCATCCCGGCTTGCTCATCCATCGCTTGCGACCTACGGCTCTGCTCCAACGACGGCTGCAGGGACGGCTGCAAACAGAATTCAGCTGCCAGTGCAGGCAGCCGCGCAGGCGGCGATGCCACCGTCAACGTTTCTGTACCATGCATACGATATTGCAGCCGCGCGGGCTCCACAGCACTCGCTGTCAGCGGCGGCCCCGCCGGTTCCCAACACGTACTCACGGCCGTCCGGAATGAGCATGAGTGGCGGAGATGACGCCAGCATGCTCCAACCGTCGCCAGTTCAGACACCAACAGTGACGGCGCACGCCGCCGCTGCAGCGCCGTACGCCCACGCAATGGGTCCGTACAGCTACCTAAGCGCGGCGGCGGGACATTCATGGCATTATGCGAGTACTTATGGCTGGTGTCCATCGTACGGTAGCTCGGGACGAGCAACCGTGGTACCGGAGCCTGGCGAGCCTTTTGCCTACACATACACGGCACGTGGGACGGCTGTGCCGTACGGCCGCCCAGCGGCAGGTACCCTTAACGGCGGCAGCCTGCAGGGAGCCGCACCCGCCGCCGCAACGGAGGGCCTGGCTGCGGCGGTGCAGCCTCCTCGTGTCGGCGTCGGCGCCGACTTTGAGGCCTTGCAACCACCGATGCCGCCGCCTCCGCCGGCCCCGCTGCAGCTGCAGCAGCAGATGCCCTATGCGCCGCCCAAGACTGGAAACCGGCGGGCCAAGCACCTGGGACTCCCCTGGGGCTTGCAGGGCTATCCACCGCCTGCGGGTCAGGCTTACGGCCACCTTCCTGCAGGAATGTACTCAGCAAGGTTGAAGGGGATTCCCGGATGGGGCGGCGCCGGCTGATCAGTGGCCTGAGAGCCGGTGTGGAAAGGGAGAGGCGACTATTGCTTAAGCGGTTCTAGAGGGATGGACCGGGGGGAGCGCGGAGGTGGAGGCCTGTGTCATGCCTTGGTGTGCATGGAGGGGAATGTTGGGTTGCATTTTGCGGTGACAGGGTGCAGGGAAGAGTGTATTGAGCAGCGCAGTGTGCGTTTCTGGACCTTGCTGCGTTGCATGACTTTGGAACATGGGTTTGTGTATCTATTCTGGTGGAGGGAATGCAGGGACGGTAAGAGGAAGGGCACGTACACAACACCGAACAGTGCGGGGCTGAAGATGATACCACTGCCAACTTCGTCATGGCGGGTGCGCCACAGATGCGCCCTGTGCCATGAAAGTGTGTTGGTTGCCTCCGTCCTGCAGTGTATCGAAAGTTACCATGAGGCATGAAGACGACGACCTTTACCGCATGAAAGGTGCATGCATAGTGCCCTCGATGGCGCATCCCCCGCCCCTCGACCCCTCCCACACCCAGTTGGTGTTGGCGCCTTGGACGTCGGTACTTGATTCCTTATATTTTTGCACGTGCATTCCCTCCGTACATACTCACCACACTACACCATACCGGGAATGCTGCGTCCCACAAATGCGCTGATGGAGGTGGAGTTGGGGAGTTGCTGTGCAAGCGTGGGGTTTATTGGACTCGTCCCAGGTCGTATAAGGCTGCATATGCACGTACGCACGCGCGCACACACCCTGCAGAGTACCATTCACCGCGTCACAGCAGACAGCAAATATGCATGGTGGATGCAGCACGCGGGGGTGGTGGGGTGGGCAAGGACATACTCCGGGAAGGCATTTTTTTCTTCCTCGAAGGAAGCGTGCTTGGGGGCCTCGTCGTGTCAACGAATGGCCAATCCAGCCACTTGGTCGCATCATCATTATCATCATGATCATCATGGAAGCCATCTGCAAGCATAGGCCACATGGCCGACCGGACGGACAACACCGTACGTGGCGTGCTCCGGAAAACCTTGTGACTCGCAAGCCACTAATTTTCATGGTGTGTATTATCGTTTACTGTTGCACGGACAGCGCATTCGTTGTTATGGCCATTGGTTTGCATATGGACCTAGGTGAAGTCCGTAATGCCTCTGATTCTTGTGCTGGTGGTTGGCGTGTAAGGAGTGTTGCTATGAATGAGTGATCAGCAAGCTGTCGCATGCACGCAGTCCTCAACGTTTCATGTCTCTAGTTCAAAAACACAGACAAAATCCCAATTACACGAAACTCGCCGCACTTTGCCACTGTCCTGCGGTACGACAAACCCATGTCCATCCCGCGACACCTGCTACAATACTTTGTGAGTACAACAGGAACATGCAACACGTTTATGGGGATCGGCCATCCCTCACTCACGCCCTCTGTTCTTCCTGTCGCAAGTGATTCCCCCCCGACAGTATAATCCGCACTGGGGACTTTTGCGCATTGCGATAGCCTTCAAGTCCATAGAACTACAGTGTGCGAATTATAAGAGACCAAAAGGCAGTCTCAGGAGACTCGACGTTCCCCCCATATCCAATTATGCGGCCAAGGGAAAGCTTCCGGCGGTTGGCAGAGGATCGAGGAGTAGGAGCTGTTCCGCGGGTTCGTTAGTCGTGCAAACAGCGTACAAACCAACTAATTGGACTCCTGCACAGGCTGCCACGATACCAAGTTCTTCGGCACCGGATGGACTCGAAAGCAATAAGTGCACGAAGTAACACACAGATGGCCAAAAAATTTAGTTTTCGAATTGCGTAGCAGGAACAGCTGCCAAAGGCCGTCGCTTGGACCTGTTACAATAAGCCCTTCGCAATTTTTCACCTAAGAAGTCTATACTAGCTAACATAAAATTATTCGAAGTGCATGTTCTGCATCAGCCATGGTCATCAACGAAGGAGATGACGTGGTCACAGACAGCCAAATCACGATCTCCAGCTTGCCGAATTCCGTCCTGACAAGTATAATGGAATGCGTAGTCCGGTGCTCTAATCCCGGCCAGGTTATAAAAGTGGCAATGGTAAGTACAGTAACCGTACAGTCTTTGATGTCTCTGCTGTGCTTTGCTGTGATATGCTGTGTGTTGTGTGCTGAGTCACTGACAGACACTACTTCGATATCCATTGCATAATCACATACAAGGTAACTACAATTCCAGAAAGCCCTTAGCCGGTTTAACTCCTTGGATCGGAAGTCCTTGAATCTATTGGAGTGCCTCACCCCACAAAAGAAACGCGTCCTTCCGTGCTTATGGCCCCCACCTCCCTGCATGCACCCTCCCAAGCGCGCCACTCGTACTGTTCTCGGTCCTGTCGTACTGTACTGCTCCTTCCCCCCTCCGTTTCCACCAACCCGTTCAAACAACCCCCAAACACTACACGTCCAGGTCTGCCGATCTCTGTACGAGGCAGTGGTGAGGGCGGAGGGGCTGTGGGAGCAGCTCAGCATCAGCCATGGATGGAGGTGCGTGTGAGGGGGTTGGGGGGGAGTAGAGGGGGGATTGCGTGTGGGTTTCGCGAGGGCCATTGATGCGGGCAGTATAGGTGGGTGTCATGTAGCCAGGATTAGTGTACGTGTGTGTTTTGGGGTATGTCACGTGGCGGAGCGTGATGGCGGTGTCCAGGCGGGTTGTGCTCTTATACACACAGGAACTACTCTACAAGGCAACAAACCGTCCAGCCCCCTAGTCATCCCCGTGCTCCACTTTTACCTTCAACTCAACATGCCTTCAACTTAACATGATCTATGATCTGTAAACCGTTGTAACCTTCACCTCACAGCAGCCTCCCTCCTCTCCCCCCTCACCACCGCTCCCTTGGCCGGCCCCCACCCGCCACCCCCTGCCTCCTGGCCCCCTGCTCCCTGGCCCCTGGCACCTCTCTCGTCTGGCCCCATCTCTCGGGGATGGCCGGATGTGCGTGTGTGTGTGTGTGTGTGTGTGTTCCGCTGCCCGCCCTCCGGCCCCGGGGCTCAGCCGGGCATCCGCCGGGCCCCGCACGGACGTCCCTTCCGGCTCCTCCCCCCTCCCCCTCCCCCTGACCCTCCCTACGAGTGCTCTTGCCGTACGGGGCGAGGGGGACCT